TAACCCAGAGCTGCCCCATCCCCCCCTCTGCCCCCTCCCCTCTCCCCCTCTTCTCCCCCTCTCCCCCCCTCTCTCCTCCCCCCTCTCCTTTCCCCTCTCTTCCTCTCCCCTCTCTCTCCTCCCCCTCCTCTCTACTCTCTCTCCTCCCTCCACCCCTATCTCACTCTCTCTCCCCCTCTCTCTCTCCCCCTCTTCTCTCTTCTCTCTCCCTCCCCCTCTCTCTCTCTCCCCCCCTCTCTCTCTCTCTCCCCCTCCCCTTTCCCCCCCTCTCTCTCTCTCCCCTCCCTCCCTCCCCCTCTCTCTCCTCCCCCCCCACTCTCCCTCTCTCTCCCCCCTCTCTCCCCCTCTAAAAGCCGCTTGAGATGTGGGGCTGTGACATGGAGGCGATGGGGGAAACGCGGGGAAACTCGAATTAGCGGAGGACCTGAAGGCGGACCTCACGGAAATGTTGTTCGGGTCTAAATATAATATAAAATAAATAAAAATAAAAAAAATAAATAAAACATCGACTCTCAGCGCTCCCCCCGGGGGCGGGGAAGGGGTTCGGCTCTTCTTAAAGGAGACGAGGAGGCGGCGGCGGCGGCGGCGCTGCCCACACGGTCTGACCCGACCGGACCGACCGAACACAACGGGCGCTGAGACCCCGCGGTGCCCCCACTTCCCCTTAAAGGGACCGCTCCCCCACCAACAGCAGCGACTCAAACGCTCATTTATGTATAAAAACGCACCGCATCTCTACTTTCCCCCCCAACTCCCCCTCTCTCTCTCCCCCCTCTCTCTCTCCTCCCACCCTCTTCCCCCCTCTCTCCCTCTCTCCCCCCTCTCCCCTCCCCCCCCTTCTCTCTCCCCCCCTCTCTCTCTCTCCCCCCCTCTCTCTCCCCCCCTCTCTCTCCCCCCTCTCCCTCTCTCCCCCCCTCTCTCTCCCCCCCCTCTCTCTCTCCCCCCCTCTCTCTCTCTCCCCCTCTCCCTCTCTCCCCCCTCTCTCTCTCCCCCCACTCTCTCTCTCCCCCCCTCTCTCTCCCCCCCTACTCTCTCTCCCCCCTCTCCCTCTCTCCCCCCTCTCTCTCCCCCCCCCACTCTCTCTCTCCCCCCTCTCCCTCCTCCCCCTCTCTCTCTCCCCCACTCTCTCTCTCTCCCCCCTTCTCTCTGCAAGCATGCGCTCCAGGCCTCTCATTAACCCCTCCAAGCCCGGGGTGGCTGCCCTCAGCCCTGTGGCTGCCCCTCACGCGGCACATGGTGGAGAGCGGCTGCACAGCCGCTTCCACGGGGGTCAGTGATATTCTACCAACAGTGAGACCGAGGAGCAGAACCTCCGGGATCTCCCCCACCGCAGTGGGCCGTTAGACCCATTGGATTTAATGTAATATAATATAATAATAATAATCCTCGCATTTGATACAGCGCCCGATCGCGTCATCGAGACGTCTCAAAGCGCTTCACAGGAGACACCGCCACCTGGACGGACCGTGTATTTTGTGGACGGCCAAGTGCGCACAGCAGCGTCCCCCACACGCAGTCAGTCATTCACAGTGGTTCTCAGAGGAACAGGAGAAGGCCATTCAGCCCCTCGAGCCCGTTCCTCCATTCTAGTAGGTCGTGACTGCTCTGTACCTCGACTCCAGATTATCGACGACGCGATAAGGTGCTGCATCCAATCACAGAATTATACCGCGCAGAAGGAGGCCATTCGGCCCATCGTGCCTGTGCCGGCTCTTTGAAAAGAGCTTCCAAATCAACCCCACTCCCCCTCTCCCCCCCAACCACCCCCCGCGCTCTCCCCAATAGACCTGCAAACGTGCCCTCTAATGCAAAGATCATCAATAGATAAAAAAAGGGAACTGGACAAGTCGCTGCCAGTTCGAAGGACTTCGGGTAATTCGATTTAAAGACAGATATATCGAAGCAATCTTGTGTCGAAATGTGTGGCTCCCGAGAGGGAGCGACGAGCAGCTCCTGTGTGTGACTGTAACTATGTCACTCTCTCAACCACGACGTACGCAAACACGAGGCCCTGGGATTGTACTTCCAAACACAATGTATCCCGATGTTAGGTGTGGAGTTTAAACTGCATTGCAACAATATAAATTAATACAAAATTAAATATGATATAAATTATGGTATAACAATAACGGCTGTTTGTGGGGACGCTGCTGTGGGCCATTGGCTGTAATGCGAGGATTAACATTGCTGTGCATCAGATGTAAATGATTGCTATGTTCTTACGTTACAGCGCAGAAACAGGCCATTTGAACCCATTTAGTATCCGTAGCATTCAGCTCACACTGCGTAAAACATTGCAGTTTCAATAAGAAAGCAAGTCAAATATTTAGGGTCGCCTTATTATAATAATAACCCGAGCACACCACCAAATCATTTTATGTTAATTGAAATATTTTCCCCCCAAAATGTACCTGTGTATTACGGTATATATTTTCCGTTTAAGGGCCACATTTCACGCCTCTGCCTTTATTTTCTGGGTTTTTTTTTGAAAAAAGCGCGCACAATACACAATAAACAAACGGCGTGGCCACTCGGAGTAAATTTTAAGACGAGATGAAATTCAAATTCAAACAGCTGCTTTTTTAGTGTCCGTTTGTGTCTGTCACGTCCTGAAACAAGACAAGAGCAGCTTTTCATCATCTGTAAGGATAGAAACTCGCAGCTGTCAATTGGGGGTGGGGTGGGGGGAGAGAGAGAGAGAGAGAGAGGGTTGTGTACATTACTACGATTTTCCTTCAGAAATGTGGTTTGATTACAGAAAATGCATCAAAATAGGACGGATTCTGACACTAATATAATAATAATAATAATAATCCTTGCATTTGATATAGAGCTTTTCACGTCGGGAGGACGTCCCAAAGCGCTTCACAGAACACACTGTAAAGTGAATTGACTGTATATTTGTGGGCGAACGCGGCAGCCAATTGCGCACAGCAATGTCCCACAAACAGTCGTGGATTGAAAATGACCAATTTATTATTGTTTTTGGTTTTGGAGGATTATTATTAGGCTCTGTGTGGAGTAAGGAAACTTGCCCAAGGTTTCGCCCTCTGCCTGGAATTGAACTCAGGTCTCTCACTTGCAAAGCGAGTGCTCTAACCACTGAGCTACAGGACTCCTATATATAATCTATTATATTATATTATAATATATAATATAATCATCCTTGCATGCGATACAGCGCCTTATCAAGTCATTGGGACGTCTCAAAGCGCTTCACAGGATATACCGTAAAGTGGAGCGACTGTATGTGTTATGGGTGAAACGCGGCGGCTAATTGCGCACGACGGCGTCCCCGCAAACAGCCGTGGATTGAGTGACCACATTATAATAATTGTATTTGTTTGTTTTTGAAGGGATTACTGCGAGATAAGCAGAGGCACATGGCGTAAGCAAACTCGCCTAAGGTTTCATCCCACCCGGGAACCGAACCCGGGTCCCTCTCACTTGTGAGGCGAGTGCCATAACCAACGTGCTACAGGACTCCACTAAAATTAGTGCCTGTGACTCCTTAGCGGTCAGAGCTTTGGCTCAGTTCAGCAGCTTAACATTTCGATCCTGGCCGCTGTTTAGCAGGAAACCCTGACTGGGCACAATGCCCATCTTTATGACCGCAATTCCCCCCAAAAAGAAATTAAAATCAAAACTCGGTCCCAACAAAGAATTTGGAAAGTGAACGCAGAAAGGAAGTGTATGAATCCTGTAGCGGATTGGTTAGAGCGCTCGCCTGGCCAGCAAGAGGACCCGGGTTCAATTCCCGGGCAGAGTGGAACATATACAGTCAATTCACTTTACAGTATATTCTGTGTGTGTGTGTGTGAATAAATATTAGTATTACTAGTTAACTGGACCGAGCACGGAGATAGGGGTGCAGAGCAGAATTAATGGACTTTAAGCAAGAATGAAGAAAAAAATGGGTCTCCACTGAGTTTACGCGCGAAGCAAATGGTCAGGGGAAAAAAGTTAGCACAGACTTGATTTTTATCAAAGAACTGGCTAAATGGATAAAACATTCGAACAAGCCAAGTAAGTTGTGTCCTCTGGGCAAACCTTTTCAGTAATTTGTTTTTTCCTCAAAGAATTATGCTAAGGCTTATGAGGCACTGTTTATTTCTTCTAAGTACACATTTTATGCTCATTATCCTTTGCGTATAAAAGTGATCGAACACTCCCAGAAATGTGATGGCTCCTGACTTGCGGGGGGTGGGGGGCTTGAAACGCAAACCATCTTTTGAGTAGAATAATACAAGTTAGGAGTCTTGGTGGAATGGAGCTTCGCTAAATTGCCGGGAGCAAGTTTTGTGGAACATTTTGGAACCACGCAGTCTAAGCTGACACTCCGGGGTAGTGCTGGGGGCGGAGGGTGTCAGAGGTGCCGTCCTTCGGATGAGACGTTAAACCGAGGACCCGTCTGCCTTTTCAGGTGGACGTTAAAGATCCCGCGGCGCTATTCGAATAGAGAAAGGAGTTTCTCTCTCTCTCTTTCCTGGTGTCCTGGACAAAAAACACCCCAAATAAAATTGGTCACTCATTTCACTCCATGGCTGTTTGTCAGACACAGCTGTGCGTACCGAGTTACTGCATTTAGTCCACACACAAAAAAACAGTTTTTACAGTACAGTATGTCCTGTGAAGCCTTTTGAGACATCTCTTATTATTGCAAAAGGGATTAAGGGATATGGGGATAAGGCAGCGTCAGGTCATTAGCTGGAGTTAGATTAGAAGATCAGCCATGATTGAATGGCGGGGCAGGCTCGAAGGGCCGAATGGCCTCCTCCTGCTCCTACATGTTATGTTATCTCAATGACATGATAAAGCGCTCCATCAAATGCAAGGATTATTATGAATATCATTATTAGAGCAGTAAATAAGGTAAGGCTGAGCCTCAGTCCACAAGCGGAGCATATTATACACTCTAATTGGAGGGGAAACTGCATTGATGATCTATCCTTGTTACGTGTTCTCTGTTTGTCGTGGTACAAAGTTGAGCAAATGGCTGTTGAACTCTATGCTATAATGACTGTAAGTTGAGATTTGGCACGGCACCATGGTTAAGGCTGGAGTTCTGCTCAGTGGTTCACAACTCTGTCATTTCCAGCTTAGGGTTGGGGTTTGGTGTTAGCTGGAGCTGTCTTGGGGCTTGGATAACCATAACGCTGTAAAAATGACAAACCATTATCATATTTGTTCAGGGATTTCGCAAAACCTTTTGTATTGCGGCCCATTCCTGCAGCATTGAATAGTTTTTGAATGGGGGTAATCATTCCTTTAGAAAAATAATAATAATAAATTGGTCACTTCAATCCACGACTGTTTGTGGGGACGCTGCTGGGCGCAATTAGCTGCTGAGTTTCGCCCTCAAAATATACAGTCAATTCAGTTTACAACACGTTCTGTGGCGGTTTGGAGACGTCTCAACGACGTGATACGGCACTGTATCAAATGCAGGGATTATTATTGTTAATACTCTTTAAACATTGGTAACATTTCAATTCACTTTATACAGTATATTCTGTGAAGCGCTTTGAGATGTCTCGAAGACGTGATAAGGTGTTGGATCCAATGTCGGGATTATTTTATTACGTAACTGCAACGAAGTCGCGGTTCTTGAATATTTTTGAGTTTCAAAACTGAAGTCGTTAAAAAAGAACCCCTCAGTTTTGCGGCTCTTTCAAGCTCACGTAGGGCTTTCTCTAAAGAATCAAAATCTTGATAAATTCAGCGTTGCCTGATAATCCTGCTAAGTGGTTGCTCCGTACAGTATCTGATGAGTGCCGTCTTCTGTATGTTAGATATGCACCGTGTCATGAGGTGAGCTGTTTCTTCTGCAAAGTTGTTTTGAAACATCATTAAATCTCTCCTTTCATCTGTATCCAGTTTGCATAACAATTCCACTAATCAGTGTGGGTGGTGCGGCCAGACTGTATCTTTAACCAATAATAATAATAATAATCCTTGCATTTGATATAGCGCTTTTCACGTCAGGAGGACGTCCCAAAGCGCTTCACAGAACACACTGTAAAGTGAATTGACTGTATATTTGTGGGCGAACGCGGCAGCCAATTGCGCACAGCAATGTCCCACAAAGTGTCGTAGATTGAAAATGACCAATTTATTATTGTTTTTTTGGAGGGATTATTATTAGGCTCTGTGTGGAGTAAGGAAACTTGCCCGAGGTTTCGCCCTCTGCCTGGAATTGAACTCAGGTCTCTCGCTTGCAAAGAGGCTTGCTGTGTGCAATTGGCTACTGCGTTTCGCCCACAAAAGTCAATACAGTCAATTCGCTTTACGGTGAAGCTGTTTGAGACGTCTCGAAGACAGGATAGGGCGCTATATCAAATGCAAGGATTATTGTTATTATCTTTATTTAAATCTTCCGACAGAGGTTAGAGTGCTACCAACTGACCCCCAGCTGAGCGTGCGTGCTGGCCTGCGGTAGGGATTTAGTTCCTGATTGAGATGAATTGTGTTCAAGGTTTAATTGTTGGATGTTTCTTTTAGGTGGTCGACGAGACCGGAGGTGGCCAGCATTGAGCCCGTAAACCCAGACGACCGACAATGTTCACAAAGAGCTGTCGTCTTGGCCCGATCAACCCAGCCAACCCGCCTCACCAGTATTATATTTGCCGAAGAAATAGGTGTGTCTTTCTGAGTGAAACGAGACAAAACTCGTTTCTATCCATCGTGCCTGCTTTACTGATCAAACAGTGTAAATTCAGGATTGCCACCAGAAGGTGCTCAGAGGGAGGTTGGATTTTTATTTTACAAAGAGGGTGTTGGAATATACAACAACAGGACAACAACAACAAGATTCCATTTATAAAGCGCCTTTCACGTCAGGAGGACATCCCAAGGCGCTGCACAGTTGGGTCATGACCCGAGCATTGGGGGGGAATGGTCAGGGTGAGGGGAGGGAAGGGAGGGAGAGAGGAGGGGGGAAATGGTCAGGGTGAGGGGAGGGAAGGGAGGGAGCGAGGAGCGGGAAGATAGTCGAGAGGGGAGCTGAAGGAATATAGGATTTATTAACATTCGAATGGCTTTGAAGCTTAGTGTGAAACAGTATTTGAAGAGGAATTGGGGAAAAAAAGAGTGTGGGAGAAGAGCAGGGAATGGGTTGAGAGTAGAGAGCTCCAGTGGGGGAGTGAACACCAGCACAGACACGAGAGTAGAGAGCTCCAGTGGGGGAGTGAGCCCCAGCACAGACACGATGGGGAGAGAGAGCAGGGAATGGGGTTAGAGTAGAGAGCTCCGGTGGGGGAGTGAGCCCAGCACAGACACGATGGGGAGAGAGAGCAGGGAATGGGGTTAGAGTAGAGAGCTCCAGTGGGGGAGTGAGCCCCAACACAGACACCATGGGGAGAGAGAGGGCAGGGAATGGGGTTAGAGTAGAGAGCTCCAGTGGGGGAGTGAGCCCCAGCACAGACACGATGGGTCAAATGCTGCTTCTGTACTGTAAGCATTCATTCTAAATTATACATACAACTGGGATTCCTGTTTGTAATCAAAGATCTATTTAAAGTTGTTTTTGGTGCAGTTTAAACTTTTGTAGCTGCTTTCAGTCTGTGCAGTAAATAATACACAAAAATATTTGGATTTTTCCACTTATCACTTCTTCCTCTGGAACAATGTGGGCGGGTCACATTGATTGCATATCTCTCTGTGAGCTCTGCTGTTTGAACAGTCTTTAAGACTGTTCTGGAGACATCCAAGGTGACTTGCCCTCTGTCTATGTGCCACAGTTTTTGAATCGTCAACAACACCACCACCACCACCACCAAATTACAGTTGTGTAGCACCTTTCACATCGAGAGGACGGCCCAAGGCGCTGAACAGTCAGGGATTAGGATCTGAGCTGGGGGTTGGGATCAGGAGGGGTGGAGGGCAGCGAGGGTTAGGGTTAGGGGTAGGAGGGTCTTGAGACGGACCTTGATGGAGGCAAGGGAGGGAGCGAGGGAGGCAGGGAGGCGCAGGGACTGTGGGATGGAGTTCCAAAGGGTTGAGTTTTTTCACAGGGTTGAAACACTTGCCCTTCATGACACACTTGAAATTAGGAACTGAGAGTGTAGTGATTAGGAACTGTGGGTATGAATCTGCATCATATCTCTGTGTGGAACAACAGAGCAGTAATGTGCAACCTGAATATAAATGATTTGAGAACTTAGTAATACCCGATGCTGGTACTTAGCGATGAGGCTTGCTTTGATGCTTGTAAATTATAATTTACGCTTTTGAATTACTGACAGTGTTGGGAATTCTGCGCCGTAGCTGTACCTGTTAATACCTTCTAATTCTGAATTGCTCTCATTCATTCATCAGCCTCTCAGTCACTGAACTCCACATACAGATAGGAAATTATTTGCATAGGAAGAGCGTTGCTCTCCTTTGTGTAAGATGTCATTGCGACTTGCAATCTTCAGATCTATTTCTCTAAGCAGCTGAGTCATTTGTCCTTTTGTCTCAACCTGAAGGGGGTGGAATCCATTTATCTGTGTTAATGTAATGTGTTGCATACAGTAGATGCCCCAAATCTCTACTGCTTATCTGTGAGCCCCCTTATTCCCATATAGCGGAATCTCTTAGCATAGTGATTAGAGAAAGCGAGAGGAGCCGTGTTCGATTCCCGGCAGGGCGAAACCTTGCGCAAGTTTCCTTACTCCACACGCCTCTGTTTACCTAGCAGTCAGTAGGAAGCCGGCTGTTAGTCAATTGGCGGATTGCTTTCCAGGATAATAATCCCTTTTTTTAAAAAAAGTGGTTACTCAATCCATGAATGTTTGTGGGACATTGCTGTGCAATTGGCTGCCGTGTTTCACCCACAAATTATACAGTCAATTCACTTTACAGTGTAGTCTGTGAAGCGTTTTGAGACGTCTCTACACTCTTCGAAATCTCTCTATTTGTGGAAAATTCTCTCTCCTGACAAAGTAGCTGAGAACCTGCCAGGCTTTACTGAGCACCGGATGGCCTTAAAGACATTTCTGACACATGTGAGAGGTATATAAGGTACTGGATGGTTTGCCAAATTTCCCTGCAGACTGGTTACTCTGCTGTGATCAAGCTTAAAGGATAATCACCCAAGTTTTGCTCTTTCAAAATAAAGTGAGCGAAAGAGGATAAAAAACAATCCTCAAGTTTGATGTCGCGCCTTTCGTGTTGGAAAGACGTCTCGAAGCACCGTGCAGGATTTTACTGTGAGATTTTACCACACTATGAAGTGTAGTGACTGTGTATTTTTGTAGGCAAATAGCAAAGGTGGGAGACTTTTTAAGTAGATGATTGGCGGTTGCGAGTTGCTGACTGTCATTACAGGTGTTCCCTCTACAAAGGGTTTCAACCCAGACCACTTCCTGTCAACGAAAAGGATTTTCAGGGTTGTTAGACTTAGAGATGGAGACATCCAGAGATTCTCGTGGGAAGGTGTTTCATTCTACACTTATTGGGATGTCAGCACCTTGGGGCGTCCTCCTGACGTGCAAGGCGGTATCCAAGTGTAATTTGTTGTTGTTAATATTGACTACAATGCGTGATGATCAACTGAATGCACATGTGGGAGGTTTGCATATTTCTCGGTCTCCCTTTGTGTGAGAGAAATTAGCTGCAGCCATCGATTGAGCTCTATGACCATCGATAGGCTTTACAACGGGGGACATTTACGCAGAATCGATTAGCTTTCGTTGTTTTTTTTTTCCTGATTTAAGCACTTCTCTACATAACAGGGGTTTAGTATATTCCTCAGAATTTCAATTGATTTCCTTTTTTAGGCCGGATCTTGTAGTTTGCAAAGTGCCTGTGTTTTTGATTAACCGCTCTGGGAAAACATTTGCCTGTATCTCTCTTTCTGTCAAATAAATAATCCTTTGCATTTAACACATCGCCTACCAATCTCAAAAGCTCTCAAAGCACTTCCCTGCTAATTGCTGACAAGTGTAGTGACTGTGCATTTGTCTCCTTGTCCGTAGCAATTGGGCGAGTGCTCCGGTGCGATGCGATCGTCGACCTGATTAGCGAGATTCAGATCGTGTCCACGACACGGGAACTTTATTTGGAAGATTCTCCATTGAAATTGAGGGTCAGAGCATTGGACGCAGAAGGTAGGTTTGTGGTCGATGTGGATAATGCTGTTTTATCTTGTGCTGAACAGTAGAACCAGAGGGCACGACCTGCGATTGAAGGGCTGGGGGGGGACTTCAGAACAAATGTACTCAAACACTACTTCAGTGACCAAGCAGTAAATGTTTGGAACAGGTTCCCTGGGGAGACAGACAGACGGTGGAAGTAGAAAGTATTGTTTCTTTCAAGAATAAATGAGATCCATTTCTGTTAGAAAATCATATCTGGGGGATACAGTGTACAGTTTGGGACACGACATGTCAAGCGACTGCCAGGATGGTGGAAGACGAGCTGTATGGACCTTGGTCTTCTAATACTTATGGAAGCCCTGTGCAAATCCCAAAGCCAGCTTTCTTATGTCTCGTGAGAGTTGTTTTCATTTAAAACTGCCGTGACTTTTGTTTCAACAAAATCATCTTGTGATCCCTTGGCACATTTGGTCAGGACTGAAGATGGACTTGTTAAATGTTATTTTTGTGATGGTGCTTGTTAGGGTTTCCCCAATAGGAGCGAGTTTCGGGAAAAGTGCAATTTATGTTTGATCTGCTGCACAATGCACACTCCCATCAAGTGGTGGTGTGATTACACTGAGCCTATTTGAAGAACCTGTCGCTGAAGACTGGAAATGAGACGGCTTTCTTTCATATAAAAGAAATCAAATCCTTTTAAAGTGGATAAAATTTACTTTGAGCGAGTACAGGAGTAGGTCAGCTAGTGTTGGGAGAAACCGATTGATTGACAACTGTGCAGGCAGTGTGGCTATTAGATTCATCCTGTTTGGCCCAGGAGGGGAGTCAATGAGTTTGTGTTGGTTTTGCACTTCAGCAGGAACTACAGAGTTTTCCCTCTCTCTTACTGCATGCTTAATATTGTGAAATTGTTAACCTCTGTCTCGCTCGCACCCCCATTTTGATGCTTCCTCCCCTTTTTTAAAAAAAAATGATTGGCTTTATTGCATGGCCAGAAATGAAAGGCGATCGAAACTCTTTGAGATCATCGTGTCCCTTCGCCTTTGGGATAGATGATTACACTGAGTTGCTGTGGCCGCTCACTGACTTGTATGGGGGAGGGGTGGCGCCCCGTGCAAGATTATCGTGGATGAGGATTTGTTTAAGAATGAGGATCAGTCTCGTCGCTGCAAACAACAAGCTCTCGCTCTGGCTCTCTCAATGTCCTGATCTTCCACAGGTAACACCTTCAGCACACTGGCTGGATTGGGCTTCGAATGGAACCTGGTGAAGGACTCGCCAACGGTGGGCTACTCCGACTCTCACAATGCCCTCAGGTAGGCCACTGGCTGGGCTTCACAGAACGGGACATCGAGTCAAACCCCTTCCTCCTCTGCAAGCATTTACTTCATTTCCCCTGCCACTCTGCCCCCCACCCTCTGGAACTCCATCCCGCAGCCCCTTCCCCGGCCTCCTTCAAGACCCATCTTTCAAGACCCTTCTCTTCGACCGTGCTTTCAATCTCCCTCCACATTTACATTTCATGTGATGTGATCCCCAGATCATCTCAATTCAATGAAACTTTGTAAAGAACCATTTTCAAGTTGCCATTTTTGTGTCCAAAGGTCGGGCTGGCTCCATCGAATTAATGTTAGAGGAATGGGGCTGCGTCTCGGAACCTGACTCCAAGCTGGGGGGGAACGGAGGAGGGGACCATGAGCTCGGTCGAAGAGGACGGTCTTCAGTTGTGATCTAAAAGAGGGGCAGGACGGGGCAAGGTGGAGGAGGGATTGCGAGAGAGAGTTCCAAAGATTCAGGGTGTAGTGGCTAAAAGCGCGGCCATCAATGGTGGAGCGGAGGGAATGCGGGATGAACAGGGAGGTCAACAACAACATGTTGTGTTACAGGTTACTGAAGTTTTCCGAATCCACCTACACGCCCCCGGCATACATATCAGAGATGGAGAAACACGGCAAGCAGGGCGATACCATCCTGGTGTCGGGAATGAAAACAGGGAACTCAAAACTCAGGGGCCGAATCCAAGAGCCGATTTACAAGGTAAATGCTGTCGAGGTGTTGTGGAAATTAATGAGGGTTCTTTTTTTTTCCCCCAGAAGAGAGGGGGCATGAATGTCAGCACTGATGCCTATCCTGTCCTTACCTCCTCAATAACCTTGCATGTTTACCAGCAGGGGGCATCCAATAGTGGTGAGGAGTGGGACTTCTTCGCTTTCTTCACAAAAATGTGCGGTTGGCAGATTGTAAGGGATAGAAAGGGCATTTCACCTCTCTGTAAAACTCTCATCAGTGGATATTTACCGTGTTTTTAATCTCTCAATCCATTGCGCAAGAACGTTCCCGCTGCGGAGGTGCAGCTGCTCATTCTGGAGAACATTATGCTGAATCCCGCCCATGACATCTACCTGATGGTGGGCACCTCCATCCGCTACCAGGTGCAGAAGATAAAACAAGGGAAGATTACAGGTTTGTCTCTGGTAGATTTTGTCCTCCTCCTGTTCCTATTGTTCTCATGGATGACGCTCAGTGACAAAACACTGAAGGAACAGTTTTGCACGTACAGCATTGGAATAACCTGTAACTTTGACAGAGATAAACTGATCCATTTTCACCAACAATCAATTGTAGGGTTTGCCTAGTGCTTCCCTGTGTGTTATCGTAATTCTCCCAAGTCGCGCACTCTCCTGACTCCCGAGTTACCATGCCTCAACTTCCACATCGCGGTGACAGAACCCTGGAACTCGCTCCCCAACACTCGCCACCACAAGTCTGCGGCATCACCTTCACGTGGTTAATCTTTGCATTCGATACAGCGCCTTATCATGTAGTTGAGACGTCCCAAAGCGCTTCACAGGATACACTGTAAAGTGGATTAACTGTGTATTTCGTGGGTGAAACGTGGCAGCCAATTGAGCAGAGCAGCGTCCCCACAAACATTTGGAGATTGAGTGACCAATTTTTGGGGGGGGGATTGTTGGCCAGGACACCGGCGGAGAGAAAGTCCCTTTTCTTTTCGAATAGCGCCACGGGATCTTTAAAGTCCACCCGAGCAGGCAGACTGGGAGCTCAGTTTAACGTCTTGCCTGAAGGACGGAACTCTATGCTGGCAAAATTCTGGCACCTAACACTCCCCTAGAGAGTAAAAACAAATTGCTGTTTTATTACATCGCGTGTTAGCCAGACTCGTAAAGGCTCAAACGAGCACTGTGGGCACCCACCGCTCTATTCTTTCGGAAGCTATTCATCATTGTAACTGATCTGTACGGGCGATTTGTTTTCACGACAATTCCTCTCAACGGTATATTTTTAAACATGTGTATTCTTCATGCATTGTAGTGATTTAAAAAAAAAAAAAAATTGGTGCCATTGTAAAATTGGTAGAGTGTCCCGTAGTGTCGTGGTTACACGCCTCGTGGCTACGATTTCCGAGTGGGGCGAAATGTTAGGTGAGTTTCCTAACTCCACACACAAGCCTCTGTTTACGTAGCAGTTCGTAGGAACCTGGTTGTTAGTCAATTGGCAGAACGCTTTCTGGGGAGTAATAATCCCATCAGAAAAAAATCCACGTCTGTTTGTGCGCAATTGGCTGCCGCATTTCGCCGACAAAATACACAGTCAATTCAGTTTACAATATATTCTGTGGCGGTTTGGAGATGTCTCAACGACTTGATAAGGCACTGTATCAAATGCAAGGATTATTATTAGTAGTAGTAGTCTTTAAAAATTGATAACGTTTGTTTTGTGCTTCGAAAATCTTTGTGTTTTCCGCCCTCCCCTTTTTTAAGCACCAAAACTGTTTCCCTGTTCTTTTCTCTCCAGGAGTAGCGATGCCTTCGGATCAGTATGAATTAGAACTGCAAAACAGCGTAGTGAGCCCAGGGGGAGATGTAAATCAACCAGTGGGCAAGCTCAACACAGGAACGTCCACAGTAACCGCACTGCAGCAAGGGCAAACCAACCTGGTGCTCACACACAAGAGTATCCTTTTGCTGGTTTGCAAAATCATGATGATATCTACAACCGGGTTCAGGTCCACATTGTCCTGTGATAATTTGGGGCCTGGAAGGGTTCGGTGGGGTGGGGGTGGTGGGGCGTTTCCCAATCCAAGGGACAACCTTTGTTCCCAAGTGGAATGCGCTCGGTCTGTTAATGGGGGGAGAAGGCCTAACCTCGCTCAACAACCGTGATAAAAAGTGAGGCTGGAAAGGAGGAGGCTGCTTGAGAGCAAAGCCAAGTCTAGAGGTAACCAACGTGCTGAAAGTCAAAAGTTTGTTTTAGGAGCAATCGCAACACTTGTTAAGTTTATTTTGTGGGCTTGGAATCATAATTAACTCTTAACTCTGGATGTGGGAATTGGCAACACGTTGGTTAATGTCGCCCCAAGTAGGAAGCGCCCAATTTCCAGCAACATCAACCTGGGAAATGTATTCGTTTGCAATAGGATTGATGTATTGTTATTAAACTCCCTCTTTGCTTGTTGTGTATCAGTTGTGGCCACACTGGAAACATCCTCACTGTCTCCGTTGGCAAAGTGTCACCCGCACCCTTTCTGCAAATGTCAAACCAGCTCATGGATAAAGTGCGCCTTTCAATATTGAACTACACGGTTGTGCGTGGAATTATTATTTGGGGATTGGATAGAAACGCTAGAGGCTAGAAGCTGTCTGCGTTCATATATTTTCTAATGCTCAACATTGATTAGTTCATGCTTTTCACATGTTCAAAAATGGTACAAATTCCGACATCGAACGACATTTGAGCTCTTGGATCTTAATTTTCTTTTTAAACGTGTTTAGCCTTAATAAAACTTTTCTAGACCTCCGAATGCAGGGTGTATCCCGGTTACCGAACTGCACAGTTTATGTGGTTGAGCCACGTTACCTAGGTTAGTGCTGTTTGCCGTCGAACTAGTGAGTTACATTGCGTTTGACACCTTCGTTGTAAAGCGAGTGTGCTGTGTAAAGGTACTGTTGAATGGCTATTTTAAATGCGTGTGGGATTGCAATGCAGCTTTCCTGAGGTTTGTTATACTATTTCAAAAGACCAACATCACTCATGAGCTTGGGTTTGCTTTCTCTGGATCAAATTCCTGGAAGTTCGGCTCTTTTTTTGCCCTGTACATTTTTCCTTGTTGTATTTATCAACAGCTGGTCTACCTGACAAGTCTTTTATTTTGTCTGTCTGATCGATGCATCTCGCAGGTCACTCTCAGAATTAGAGAGCTGATCAGCCTTCCTCGCTTCCCTTTGAAAATCTTTTTAAAATTAATTTGGACATCGGGAGCCCTAATGGGAAGCAGACGGCATGCCTGGGAAATGATGGATTTTGCCGTGTTGCCAGCCTTTTCACTCTAAAGACCGCTCTTAGTTTCAGCCTCAAGACGAGATCTCTGTTTCACCTTCCGTGTCCTTTAGCGTTGCTGCTCAACGAGTATTTGCCATCAGTTCACGCCGCTGGTTTCCCTTATCTTGAGATTTGCATTTACCCAAAACAGAGTGTTGTGAATTTCTCAGTAAAATAGGTTTGGCCTGCGTGATTGGCTTTGAGGTATCTTCAGGGAGCTATAACACAGATCAGTCCATGATTGTATTGTTCGGCTTTCGAACGCTTCATCACAACCAGTTAAAACCTCTCCCCGCAGTTTCCCCACACAGTATGGCAAGAATCCTTGCCCAGACCAGAGCCCCGTGACTTTAAAGTCCAAAACTATGGTTAGATGAAATGTGCCCAGGTGCCCTCTGAACCAGGGGGGTGAAGCTTGCCACCTACACTGGGTTAATTTGATTACAAGCGTGTAGTGTTGCTTCCAAACTTTATTTTGACTAATCAAGCTACAATGTTTGGTGGACGGGCCTTCAGCCTCTCTGCCCCCACCCTTTGGATCTCCATCCCACAGTCCCTTCGCCTCGCTCTCTCCCTTGCCTCCTTCAAGACGTGTCTCAAAACCCTCCTCTTCGATCGTGCCTGAGGTCATCCTCTTACCCGTGCCCTCCAGCCCTCCTGATCCCAATCCTAGCTCGGGTTCAAATCCCTGACTGCCCAGCTCCTTGGGATGTCCTCCCAATGTGAAAAGCGCTGTGTAAATGTCATTTGTTGTTCGCAGTTGTGGTGTACTATCATCAAATGTAACGTGTTGGTAACTCATTGACATTTCTTAAATTGCTTCAACGGTGTAAGAGTGCGGTGGTGGGTGGGGGACAGGATGGTGTTTATGAGCTGCAAGCGTTAGGGTGTAATTTGTCTTGTTTGTTCCAGCACTCTCGCTCCTCTTCATCCACGCCCTGACCTTTTCTATTAATGGATGGCACATACTGTCAAACACTAGTTACTAAATCTATTCCTACCAACTGGCTCCATGCAAAAAAAATCTGTTGCACTTTGGTCTGAAAATCTGACATTCCCTCCACCTCCGCCTCCGGAACTCCATCCCCGAATCTCTCTGCCTCGCCCCCTCCCTCGCCTCCTTGAAGGCCCGTCTCAGGACTTTCCTCTTTGACCATGACTTCAGCCCACCTCACACACCCGTAACTCCCTCTACCCTCCAACCCTCTTGATTCCAACCCCCCAGCAATGTTACATCATCTCTAAACTGTGTGATCTTACTCATTCTTTGAAGGCATTATCTTCCCTCCTGTATATCCTCACGAAAACATGATAAGACGCAGTGTCAACTGCAAGGATTATTATTGTTATTATTACTTCGCAAAGCTGCCTATATATTTCCTGACCTGAGGTGGTTGGACCTTGTGTGTCTATATAAATGCAAGTTGTTTTGTTGTATCTCTTGTGGCCACGGCTGTTCATCCTTCTTTACTCAGTTGTTCAGTCAAAAAATGCAATAATGGACTGACGTAAAACCTTCCCCCTTCTTGTTGAAGTGGAAAATAAATTTCAGAGAAGATTGGCCGGTTTGAAAACTGTTCATGTGCCTTCTTCCATAGGTTTCACAATTCATCCTGGAGACAGATGGGTGTTGGAGACTGGCAAGGTGTACAGCGTCACCATTGAAGTGTACGATAAAGAAAGCAACAAACTTTATCTGTCCGATGTGAGTATCTTTCTTCCATTTTGGGACCGTGGCTTTTCCCCCTATCCCGGGGGGGAACGAGAAGAATAAAACCACCCCCCCACTCCCTCCCCCCGTCCCCAGAACATCCGCTAACCCAAGCTAGTCCAAAAATCAGACCTATGGGCTTCTGGGCTGCACAGCGCTGGTGCTGACGTGTTCAGAAAGGTGCAAGCGGAGACTGAACGTCCCACCTGAATCGCTCGGTTGTCACAGGTTTGCCCATCAGGTTTGGCTGGTGTCACTCCCCTCCCCGGAACATCAGTGGGATTCTCTGCCTTTGTGCCTCGTGATGTATCCGCGAAACGAGAATCGGAAAAGCCACTTCGTTCAGATGTAACGCAGGATTGTGGAGTCCCGCAGTGTAGTGCTTTGACATGACAAGACGCTGTATAAATTGCAAGGATTATTATTATTATAGGATATCCGAATCAGCACTGAGATCCCGAGGGAGTACTTTGAGATCCTGGAGTCTTCACTGAACGGCTCGTACCATCGGGTCCGGGCTCTGAAGAAGGGACAAACTGTGATCGACGCCACCTTAGCCAACGTGGTTTCTCAGGTCAGTCGAAGCTTTGATTTTTACGGCTCTGCACGCGACGGCGATTGTTTTGTGCAGCGCTCCCAGACGCAATCACGCACCAAGGGTGGGATGTAAATGCAAGTTGTTCTGATTATAGTCTCTTAAAGTCCTGGGGCGTAGTGGTTAGAGCATTCGCCTCGCAAGCGAGAGGACCCAGGTTCGATTCCCGGGCAGGGTGAAAGCTTAGGCAGGTTTCCTCACTCTGCGCGCCTCTGTTTACCTGGCAATACGTAGGAACCCAGTTGTTAGTCATTTGGCAGATCACTTTCCGGAGGTAATAATCGAAAAAGATTTGGTCACTCAATCCACGACTGTTTGTGGGGACGCTGCTGTGCACAATTGGCTGCCACGTTTCGCCCACAAAATATACAGTCAATTGACCTTACAATATATTCTATGAAGCGCTTTGAAACGTCCCAATGTCATGATAAGGCACTATATCGAATGCAGGGATTATTTATTATAGGCATCACTGTGGTGAGGGGCTATAAGAACACAAGTCCTTTTAAAGGTTAATGTGGCTTTTACTGAAAAAGTAAATTACCATCTTTTGAGCGATCTATCGGACGTGTAGCTATTTTCGTGATGGTAATCGTGTGCAGCGACCCACCCTGCGTATAAACAGTGGTTTAGTTGTATAACTAACGGTTATTAAACCTATGACAAACCGGTGACCAATTATTCTGTAACTTGCAATTAAAAGCAGGGTTCCTATCTTCATATCAGAAAGTGCGATTGAAGTAATGACGTGCAAATCCTGCCCAACTGTTCAAATCCTGCACGGGTTGATTTTTTTTTGTTGAGTTTTTAAGATGAATCATTTAAGTCTGAGGAAAGCCTTTGTAAATGATGAACTATTACCCCACTGGTTGATGAGACCATAACTAGAGGGCATCGATTTGAAGATCATTACCAAAAACAACTTGTCTGACGTCACCGATATTTTTATATATATATATATATAAAAAGAGAACATAAAAGGAGAGGTTAAGGTTTCTTTCTTTAATCACACGCACACAGATACGCAGAACACCCCACGCACAGGCACACGCACATGGACACACACGCACAGACACACACGCGCACACCCCTCGCCACGGCTACATCGTCTGTTTGCCTTTCAGAGCGGAGCCGTCTTTACTCTGCCCATCCCTGTGCAGAACCAACAGGAAGTCGAACTTTACAATCCGATCGAGCTGACCCCACGCATCCTGTCGTTCCCGTGGCAACAGATGGCAGGAGCATATCAGTACGCCATCAAGGTGAGGTCTATTGACTTTTCTCTTATTTGGCGAATCGTCTCTCGATCGCGTGCCTTGGGAAGTCCTTCCGATGGAAAGGCACTGACCGTACAAAATGTAACCTGCCCGCGCTGCCGTTGTTCTGTCCGTGGAACCGAGGACATCGCCCGCCGTCCGTCCACGCCGGGAAACATTTCGCAGGCGGAACAAATAGACCCACGCAGGTCCTCGGGGTCACGCGGAAAAGATGGGGTCGTTGAACCAACAAAATGGACGAGGTTCTCAGTAATGACGTGAACCAGTCAGGAGTTTACACGCAACAATCAAAAAAAATCAAAAAGATTCCCCTTAAAAAAAAATCTCATTTTAGAAATGCTTTCTGATGACCCCCCCCCCCACGCAGCGTGCTCCCCACCCAGCTGGGATGGGATGGTTTGGTTTAGTGTGAGTTACTTATGTGCAGACCATCAGCCCTCTTCCTTTGATAAATGAGGGCTTCGGGTCTCAGCTTGTCTGTTGCGAAGCCGGAGATTTATTTGTTTGATCGATGCGAGAACTCGCGCGAGAGAGAGAGAGAGAGAGAAACTAACTGCGGCACTGGGGGAAGATTCATGGCTCTCGTTCGCTGAAAACGGTGCCATTTAACCAGGAGCCTCGGAGTCTCGATCTCGTGGCTCTGATATAGTGCTGCCTCAGCCTGAACGCCAGTGCCCCTGAAAATGAAAAAACTCCCGTGTTTCGGGGAAAATAATTTGCCAACAAAATATGTTTTCTTGATTTACTGCCATAAATCAAGAAAAAAAAACACTGCCGATTGAACACGGACTCAACTATACTCCTGCGAATGTTCGGGAGTGGTGAGGGTGGGGGGGTGCGAGAGAGGGGGGGGGGGGTCTTCTTGATGGCACCGTGGGCCACTTCCGGACCGCAAGCCCACAGGTTGACCACGCCGCTGTTCTAAAGGATGTTTCCAGTTGACATTCAGCTCCCTCTTGTCTAACGCGGCATGAACTGAATTTAATTAAAGCGCTTTCTTGCTTTGCGGAACACAAATGAATTAGCCATTGTTTTTTTTTTACTCTAGCTGCTTGTTTCAGTGTATTCCGTGTCTCTCTAAGTACATTAGTGAGATTACTCCTTAATGTAATTGTTACGGCTTGTTCGAGCTGGCTGCCTTTTGCTGCCAGACAAATTGGATGCTTTAATCCAATGACTGTTCCAATGCCCTCCTCCCTCGCCAGTCTCCCCAGCTTCACTACCCACAAACTGCAACTGATTCAGAACTCCGCCACCCATATTCTCACCCACATTAAATGCCGTAGCCCCATCACCCCGGTCCTCGCCAGGCTCCACTGGCTCCCTTTCACAGAACAGATCGATTTCCAGATCTTCTCACTCGTCTACAAATCATCCCTTCACGCCCTGGCACCTCCCTACCTTTCTGATTTATTTTGCCTCCCACTCCACTGCCCACTGCCCCCACTCATCTGGCTCTGGCCTCCTGCTCGTCCCCTCCGCTTCACCATCAGCAGCCGCACTTCCAGCCACTAAGCGTCACAGGTTTGGAACTCTCCCTCAATCCCTCAACCTCGCCCCCTTCCTCCCCACTTTTTGGTCGTGACTGAAGATCTTCCTCTTCAACCGGGTGTACGGTAACCTCCTCCCTCCTTCCTCCCCCCCCTCCCCCTCCCCCCGATTCAGGGTCAGGCTCCGCCGTATCATCATCATCATGTTAATGATGTTGTTGATGTTGATATTGACGATGGTGATGATATTGATGATGATGATGTTAATGATGATGATGAGCCTCAGCTGTGTTGTGCAGGCCACCGGTGGGAGCGGGAATTTCACCTGGTCCTCGTCCACCCTGGCCGTCGCCACGGTGACGGTGAAAGGAATCATGACGACCGGAAGCGACATTGGGTTGAGCGTGATCCAGGCCCACGATGTTCAGAATCCACTGCACTACGGCCAGATGAAGGTGAGTGACCGACTTACAGTCCTCTCACAGTCACGTGTCACCTACGTTTGAGAGCTTTGGGGGGTGGGGGAGTTGCCCAGCCGGGGGTGTCTGACACACGGGGAAACCCATCACCATTGCTTAAGTGTCTCCAAACCCAACAGAGAATTCCACACCTCCCACCTACACGTGGAGAACCCAGAGATAGATTGTTGGAATGGGATGCGCCCTCTCTCTCTCTCTCTCTCTCTCTCTCTCCTTAGAGGGCTGCATCCTCCTAATTCTGGAGAATATTAGGCACAGGTTGGCAAAATGTGCAGTCAATTCACTTTACGGTACATTCTGTGAAGCGCTCTGAGACGTCTCGAAGACGTGATAAGGCGCTATAGCAAATGCAAGGATTATTATTATGAAAATGAGCTGCCGTCAGAACATTTGGTGTTTTTTAAATTTATATAAAAAATAGAAGTGAAGCAACAGCAGACCAGGATCCTGCCTTGAAGGCAGCATTTCCTGTCAAGTGTCTCTTGGAGGTTTAGTAACCAGAGAAAGTCTGATTGAGTTGTGCGTGGTTTATGATCGGGCTCCATATGGTCGGGTAATTTGCCCCTGAGGCTTTTGGCAGCTGCTTTCTTTTTTTTTTTGCTTTGGGGGAGGAAAAAAGAGCCTAAAACCACAGCTCAAAAAGGAAAATATTTGGTGCGAATTAATGTATGATCTCTAAACCATAGAGGAGATGTCCTTCGGGTATTCACCAGCAACTCGCGGTGTGTTGTTGGTGTGTGAATTTCAGTGTTCGATTGACAGGTAGTCAAGAATGTTAGTGGATGATTCATTTCATTTGGCAGATTCAAGAATGGCCGTCAATATTTCTTTTTTGCCAAGAATGCTTGGCTATAATCTCAAAATCCCTTCACCCTTCATAAACCCTCTTAAAAATGTGTTGGCTTTGCAACATCGCTCTCAAACTCTCGGCTTGTTTCCCCCACCACAGTTCCTTATTGCTCATCGATTCCTTTCATCTGTTTCAGGCACTTTGAGAGATGAAACACTTGCTGTAAACTTGCCTTGTGGTAAAGCTGTGGGCACCTTTCTTTAACAAAGTTCAGAGAACAGCTGATTTTAAGCGAGAAAGTAGCTTTGAGAAACGATGGTATTGACTGCTCTGAGACTATTGAGGCGAGCACAATTTGCCTAAATTAGGATTTTCAGCTTATATATCATGCGGGATTATTTTGAGGCAAAACACGGTGTATAAACCCTGCATTTTATTGCCATTAGAGTGCTAGGCTTCTCTATCAGAATTGGAAGATTGACTGACAATAATTTGGTGAAGCTGACACTGGAGCGAGCAATACTGAATTTCCATTCCGCTGGTAACTAATTCCCAGTGCTCCGGTTTAACCAGTAGTCTGACAGCGCCTCATACACACATCGCTGACTAAAATGCTTGTGTTTCGAGCTCCTCCGAATTCATCAATTCTCACTGCATCTGTTTCTGCTGCTTTCTGATCTACTCCCATTCCCTGCTCTCTCTCTCTCCCTCCCCATCGTGTCTGTGCTGGAGCTCTCTACTCTAACCCCATTCCCTGCTCTCTCTCTCTCCCTCCCCATCGTGTCTGTGCTGGGGCTCGCTCCCCCACTGGAGCTCTCTACTCTAACCCCATTCTCTGCTCTCTCTCCCTATCGTGTCTGTGCTGGGGCTCGCTCCCCCACTGGAGCTCTCTACTCTAACCCCATTCCCCTGCTCTTTCCCTAAACCTTTCATTACTCTTTTTCAAACGCTACAATTATGTTCCCCAGCACATTTTCCATGGCTGTTAATGACAATGAACCAAGTGTATCTACACATTTTTAATTAGTTAAAATCCGACGTCAGTTCTGTTCTGCTCCCTTGAAGCTTAACCATCCTCCTCTGTATGTAAGTCAACAAGATGAAAGCTAGTGCACATTTTATACTGACAGTGCAATCAAATTGCTTGTAAAGCCTCACTCACTCCAGAGCAGAGCTGTCTGTGCAAGGTCAGCTGCACTGTGGCTGCTTCCCAGTAATTTACAGGATGAAGGAGTTGAAAGGTGGAAGTAAACAGCAACATTGAGAGTCCTGACATGTTTTTGTTGGCCCTCTGCTATGCACTCTGCTCTTCTGACTCCAACCTCCTGCTCGTTCCTCACTCCCTGTGTCCCACCATCAGCAGCTGAGTCCCTCCTACCCCCACCCTCCCTGCTCTCCTACCCCCCCACCCTCTCTGCTCTCCTACCCCCCACCCTCCATGCCTCCTGATCCTACCTCCCAGCTCAGGTTGCAAATCCTTGACTGTCCAGCACCTCGGGCCATCCTCCTAATGAGCAAGGCGCTGTGTAAATGTCATTTGTTACACCCCAACTCTCTGGGAACTCCTCTCACTTCACTCCTTCTCTCCCTGCCTTCAAAGCCCTCTGAATTAGTCAAATCGTTCCATCTGTCCTCCGTGCTTGTTAAGCGCTCCAAGAAGCTAATCTGCATGCAGGGTGCCATGTAAGTGCAAGTTGTTGTTGCCCAAGAGGCCGTGGGTTTGATTCCCGAGCAGAGCAAAACCGTAGGCAATTTTCCTTCCTCCACACACCTCTGTTTAATGATGTGACAAAGTGCTATATCAAATGCAAGTGGCATTGTTGTTGTTGTTGATGATGATGAAACCCAGCCCCTGTTTCCTTTCTGTGCAGGTGTACGTGATCGAGCCGACCCAGATGGAGTTCACACCTTGTCAGGTAGAGGCTCGGGTCGGGCAGACCCTGGATCTGCCACTGAGGATCTACGGGCTGATGAACGTGGAGACGAAGGAGACCGTGACCCTGACCGACTGCTCGCACTTTGACCTTGTGGTGGAGGTTGAAAACCGCGGAGTCTTCAAAACAGTGGCGGGTAATCACGTCCTTAACCTTTTTCTCATCAAAGTAAACTCAGGGACGTTCGTAGGTTGATGGGGACTCTGAGCTCACGGTGGGGGCTGACAGCCTTCCCCACGGTGACTGCCTGGGGGTGAGCAGCACTGCATTGTCGGGGACGCTGTCCTTCGGATGACGCATTCTCAAGCAAGTGCCTCAGTCGAGTGCTCCAGGACACTGACCTGCGCGAGGGACCCTGTACGAATGCGAGGTGTTTGTGGGACAGTGCCGCGGGCAACTTGTCCGCTGCGTTAAGCAGTCACTACACTTGACAGTGATAACTGTAAAGCACTGCGAGAGGCTTTGACAGGGTAAAGCGCTGTAAAATACAAGCTCTTTCTTTGCACTGTATCGGTGGTGATTTGCAACCCAGCGTCTTGCCCTGAGGATTGCTTAATCAGTTGGGGAAGGGGGAAATTAATGATAGGCAAAGCACCAGCCAAGCCCCTCGTCATTAAGCTGCAGATACTAAATGCACGTCGACAAGGAGATACATGATGTTCTTCATGCCAGAAATCTCACAACCCTCGGTGTGACGCTGCTGATTAGCTTGGCTGAGGGATAGTGAAATGCTACGTTTTGTTATTTGCCTGATTCATCTGTGTTAATGAAAGGGGAGATGAATTGGATATTTTCGAAGAGTCGGGCTGCTGGGACAATGCAAATGTCAGGCTAAATAAAGCACCTGGTCAGGGATGAATCAATGGGATTGCAGAGCTATTGGAGATGTTATTACATTGGGCGTAGGGAGGGAGGATGGGGAGAAACTGTGCAGGAGATTGAATGGATCTGGTGCAGAAATTGAAGAGGATTAAATTCTCCTAATCCTTTCATGTCAAGAGGATATCTCAAGGCATTTCAAATGGTGTATTGTATTCAAATGGTGTCATCACTGTATATTTGGTAGGTGGAATGGATTGAGTGTAGTCAATGGTGGACCTAACGGGGTCTTCTCCTATTCCACCCTCTCCTAATTCTACTAGAGATTGATAACCTGGTAATGAGGATAATAGATGGAGCATTTTTTTTTTACACAACTCACAACATGGCAAATGCGTTCAGGTTGTGTGAATGTTGATTAAATGCTAAAACCTCCCATTTAAAAAGAAAAACAACAATTGGTCACTCAATCCACGGCTGTTTGTGGGACGCTGCTGTGCGCAATTGGCTGCCGCTTTTCATCCACAAAATGCACAGTCACTCCACTTTACAATGTGATTCTGTCAAGCGCTTTGAGATGTCTCAGCCGCGTGATAAGGCGTTGTATCAAATGCAAGGAATATGATTGCTATTATTTTAACTCTTTCGTTAACAGGGAGACTGAAACCGGGATCCGAGCACTGCAGTGGGGTAAGAGTGCAAGCGGAGGTCCAGGGTTACACCACGCTGATGGTGAGCTACAACCACGGCCATATCTATCTCACCGCCAGCATCACCATCGCGGCTTATCTGCCTCTTATCGTAAGTACCTTCTACTGAAGCAGCTTCAGTCCCGTAGCGCAGTGATCAGCGGGCTCGCCTCACAAGCAAACTGCTCTTTATCTCAGGCTGTGGATCCGGTCTCTGTCGCCCTGGTGACTTTGGGATCGTCCAAGGACATGCTGTTTGAGGGCGGGCCCCGGCCGTGGGTTCTGGAGCCTTCCAAGTTCTTCACCGAGCTCACGGCAGAAAACAAAGAGAGCATCGTTCTGGACGTGGTGGGATCTCCGACACTCAGGAACCAGCCGCAGCACCTGGTGAGAGCCACCTGCACGGCCCTGGGAGAGCAGGTGAGAAGCCGGTCCTTTGAACACCTCGTGTCTGTGGGGAGGCTGGTGTGAGGGGGGGCGGTGGTGGAGGGCAGGGCGAAACCTTAGGCAATTTCCTCACTCCTCTGTTTACCTAGAAGTAGGAACCCGCTTGTTAGTTGAACAGTGGATCGCTTTTCGCGGGAAATAATACTTCCAGATGAATAAATTTAGTTGCTCAATCCACGACTGTTTGTGTGCACAATTGGCTGAAGCATTTCGTCCACAAAATACACAGCCACTACACTGTACAATATATCCTGTGAAGCGCTTTGAGACACCTCAACGACGTGATAAGGCGTTATCTATCAAATGCAGTAACAACGACGACAACAAATCACATTTACACAGCGCCATTCACGTCGGGAGGACGTCCCAAGGCGCTGGACAGCCAGCGATTCGAACCCGAGCTGAGGGTTGGGATCAGGAGGGCAGGGAGGGTGGGGGGATTATTATCATAGTTATTAGGATTATCATTATAGGGGTCTGGAGGGGGTGGAACGGACTGCTTTTAATTTTAACTATATTTTTATTTGATGTTTTTCTCCCATTCTCCCTTCAGGTTTTGGCTTTGACTGTGAGCAACCAGCACAGCCTCAAGAACCCCTTCCCTGCGGTGGAAACCGCAGTCGTCAAATTTATCTGCACCCCTCCATCCCGGCTAACTCTGGCCGCTGTGTATCTGGTTCCCCAGCTGGATCTCTCCTGCCCCTTACACCAACAAAACAAGCAAGTGGTGAGTCTCTGTAACCTCATCGCGATCTGAGAAATCCCAGCATCGTTCTGTTGCTGGCCTTTTGGTTCGCTGCAAGTTCAGCAAACTTCCCCGTCTCCCCGGGCGACGGTGCTGGTGACGAGCTCAGGCGCTGGCAATGAACACACAACCACGGTGCTGGAATACCAAATGTCTGTTGATTTAGTAATGTAGCATCGTGTGGAATTGAGGACAGTTCTCAGATTTTCCCTCTCATTCCCCCCCCCCCGCCCCCCACACACACACACACACACACACACAATCTTGCAGCTGTCATTTGTATAATGGTTACCATGCTTGCTTGCGAATGCACAGTCACTACACTTAGCACCAATTCCGTGACAAGTACTTTTGAGACATTTTAATATTCTTGATATTTGTGGGGAAGTCGCTGGGCACAATTGGCTGCCGCGTTTCACCCACAAAACACACAGTCGCTCCACTTTCCGGTACACCCCGTGAAGCGCTTTGAGACATCTCGAAGACGTGATGAGGCGCTCCATCAAATGCAAAGATTATTATTGTTAAGTTATTGTTGTGACACTGTCTGCCTCCCAAGGTTCCTGTGTCGAACTACCGTAACCCAGTCATCGAACTAGCTGCGTACGACCAGCTGGGCCGAAAGTTTGACAACTTCTCTTCCCTCGACCTGGTTTGGGAATCCACTAGAGTCTCGCTGGCCAGCGTGGAGGAGAGCACGCCCATCCAGATGGTCTTCAAGAACGACGGGAAAGGACAGAAGAAGCAGCATGGTACTGACAGACGTTACAAAGGAGTTCATTTGGAACCTGCACCTTGGCCTTGTTGAGTTGTTTTTAGTTGGTGTCGTGATCTGGAATCGCTTGTGATTCTTTTTTTTTTTCTTTTACTCTCTGTCTTTCCAAAAGGTCTCCAAACCGTTCTGGTCCATCGTGAATCAGGGACCACTTCTATCACGGCGACTGTGATCAGCTATCAGCAGGAGCACCTCAAAGCAGCGAAAGTTAAAGCTAAAGTAGGCGACACAACTTTTTATAGAGAGTCTCTGCGGAGAGCACATCTTGGGCTGATTCACCGGGTGCTATTCCCTTTTAATGTGTCGCCTCCTTGTCTCTCAGTGGATGGATTTCACCATCCTCCCTTTAAATTCTCTCTGCCCTCTTTCTTTCTTTCTCTCTCTCTCGCTCTTTCTCTCTTGCTCGCTCTCCGTCTCTGCAGTCTACTCCAGCGCTGTGTTCCCAGCCCACCGCTCTGTTTCTGACCCCTGTGCTTCACGTTGCTCACTGCAGCTTGACAGCAATGACTGTGAAGAGTTTGGAGACACTCTTTGACGTGATGCAATGCCTCAAAAATGCGCGCTCGCTCTTTCCCTCAGCCACTGGAGGCTGAGCCTTCAACCTCTTGAAATCTCTTCCGAAAAAAACTCTTGAATTTCAGTCTTGTACCTCCTCTCCCACTTCCATATAAACCCCCAAAGACCCGGCTCTCTCCAACAGCTCTGAATTCCTCCTGCTGTTGACATGGCGCAGTGAGGCCCCCTGGCCCGGCATCGTGCTCCGCCACTGTCAAGCGCTCTGCGACGCTACCCTACGTGAGGGGCGCTGTGTAACAACAACAACAACAACAACAAGATTCCATTTATAAAGCGCCTTTCACGTCAGGAGGACGTCCCAAGGCGCTGTAAATATTGTTGTTGACCAGCGCTGTCTTTGTTAAGCGCCCGGTGTGCCGTGTTCTGCTCTGTTCAGCTGTGCTTCGGGTTGTCGGATAAATCAAAGGGGAGCCTCAACCCTAGATATTTCTTTCCCCGCAGTACGATCCCTTGTTCCCTGTGTCGACTACCATCGAATTGTTGCTTGTGGAGGATGTTAAAGTCCACCCCAATAACATCACCATTTACAACCATCCCAACGTGAAGGTAAACAAAGCTTCTTGGCTTCTTTGCGTGGAAGCACATTCCATTGTCAATCCAAACCGTCATCCAACTCAAATGCTTGAACCCTTTTTTTTTGACGGTTGGTTTGTTGTCGGTCACAGGCCGAGCTCTCCCTGCAGGAAGGCTCCGGTTACTTTCTCATCAACACCAGCGTGAGCGATCTGGTGAGCATCACTTACAAGGAAGCCCAGAGCGTTGCTCAGGTCAGTCGATCGGTCAGTCACTTACATTGGTGGGGGAGAGGGGGGTGGAGGAGGAAGGGACTATTGGCCTGACCATTCCCTAAGGGATTCCTTGATGGAGGGTCCACAAGTCCATCACTCGGGAACTCAGTCCGACTCGATCCACGTCAGCTGTATGGGGACTGATTGCTGCCATGGGAAGTTGGTTGGGTGGGGATTCTGAGAGCAATACAATACAAAATTACATCTGTACACCGCCTTTCACGTTGGGAGGACGTCCCAAGGTGCTGTAGCCACAAAGGGAAATGTCTTCTGACCCAAGCAAACGACACAAAGGGAAATCTCTTGCAATCACTGTATTTTACTTTAACGACAAGTGATGTTAGGGGGTCACTGAGCACTCAAGAGGTTCTCTTCCTGTGAGGTGCCCTCTGTAATGTGCAATGTGCTGGGGATGTCTACAGGTGCGGCCCATCCACCCAGGACTTCTGACGGTGATGATCCATGATTTGTGTCTGGCGTTTCTGGGACCGGCCAAGGCGGAGGTCCACGTGTCTGACATCCTGGAGCTGTACATACGCGTGGTGGACAAGGTGAGTGACATTCCCCCCCCAAACGTCCATCCGAGATGCTTGTTTTTGAGGGTCAACGGAGTGTTTTGACACACGTGGAAACCCGTTACCGTTGCTTAAGAGTCTCCACACTCAACTGAGAATTCCACACATCCCATCCCACCAACACCTCCAAATCCCAGAGATAGATTGCTGGAATAGAATGCACTCTTCTCTCCCCAATTCCTGAAAGTATTAGGCGCAGGTTGGCAAGAGCCAAGGCTTGGGGTGGGGGGAGCCCAGAGTGTGCGTTGGGGTAACTGCTGGAGTCTAACCAGCTAACACCACACAGCTTGGCCATTGAGAGTGCTGTGCCTTCAGACACTTTCTCATTGACCTCGGGGAACTCTGTGTCTGTCTCGAGCGCTGTGAGATGTTATCCTGACCCAATTAAAAAATACACCTTGTCGTTGTGATGGTGTTGCAGCTTCTTACTTGGTTTCGTAGTGTTTGCTTTGTTTGTTCCCGCTCACCAAAACTGCTTTTTTTTAATTAAAAAAAAGGGCCAAATTAAACGGGGAATTTGAGGCGCTGAGCAGTGAGTTCCCTTATCTGCCTGTTAACTGTTGGATGATTGTACCCAGCTGCCTGATCTCAGATCTCACTCGGAGAGTAGAGTGTTTACTTTAGTTTTGATTTCTCTGCTGGAAACGTGACCTTCACTCTGTGTTGCTCAGGTGGAGATTGGTAAAACGGTGACAGCCTACGTGCGGGTTCTGGATCAATCCAAGACTCCGTTCCTCTCCAAATACTTCCCCTTCATGACCTTAAAAGTGAAAGCAGCCTCTCAGCTACTTTCCCTGGAGTGAGTATGCGCTTTGTGTTTCTGCACAGAAAGGAATGACGCTCAGAAACTCTTCATTCGCCAACCGCCAGCCTCCCGCCATCCTCCACACGCACCACACATGCACACGCACACACAGACGCCAAATTATTGGCACTGGGCTCCATTGGTTGGTTTGGTTAATAACTTTGGTTATTAATTCTTTGCTGTTGCTCTCCTGCTGTCGGCCTGGGTTGCTTCTCTCTGAATCGCCTTGTGTCTGTTTCAGGCCGCTGGACGATGCCCTGGACGGTTACACGGCCAGCTTCTCTGTGCAGGGAGCGGCCATCGGGCAGACCAGCCTGACCGCCACCGTCACCAATAAACACGGCAAAAAGCTCAGCTCAGCACCGCAGCAAATCGAGGTGATCCTGCAATATCCTTCGCGATCCTACGATATCCTGCTCCACAATCCCCCAAATAACCTTGAACTCACGTGAAAGGCACTATACTAATGTCATTTGTTGTTGTTGTTGTCTAACTGATGCTCCAATGCAGAGCTGAGGATGTCTGTCCTGGCCAACAATCTCCCAAATAAAATTGTTCACTCACTCCACGACTGTTTGTGGGGACGTCGCTGGGCCCAATTGATTGCCATGTTTCCCCCCCAAACACACAGTGTATCCTGCGAAGCGCTTTGAGACGTCTCAACGACGTGATAAGGCGCTGTATCAAATCTAAGTATTATTATAGTGTTCGATGTTTAACACACAAAGTCTCGCAAGCGAGGACTCGGTGGAATTCCAACCCCGTGCTTCTGTGTAAAGAAATTTGGGCAGTGGCGTGAAGTAGCCTGCGCGACTGTTAATGACGGGGAAGGTGTCCGGCCGAGACAATTCAGGGGACCTTAATCTGAAATTGAATCTTTAATACTGTGCCTTATTTTTCTCTCCCTCTGCTTCCGTAGGTATTTCGTCCCTTCAGACTGATCCCAAGGAAGCTAACCCTGATGGTGGGAGCTATGATGCAGGTGCGTTTGTAAAGTCAGGAATTTCGATGATTTTAATATTTATAGCGTCTCTCTCTCTCTCTCTCTCCCACTGAGGAGTATCTCTGCACAGCTCAGCCTGTCCTCCCCTCTCGATACCTTGACTTTAATTCTGGACGTCTCCTGCAGATGAGCTCCTGCTCTGTTCTTCCCTTCTGTTAACCTAGGTTTGGAGGCGGGCGGTGTCGTGGGGGGTGGAGGGGGGGCTGGGGAACGAATGCGGCGAAAATACAATACAATTCCCATTTTTTACATTACAATACCACACAATTTACATTGTCTTGTGTGGCGTCCTGTAGTGTAGTCGTTAGAGCGCTGGCCTGGCGAGCGAGAAGGCCCAGGTTCGATTCCCGGACAGGGTGAAACCTTAGGCAGGTTTCCTTACTCTACACACACACACACACACACCTGTTTATCAGCAGTCAGTAGGAACCCGGTTTTTAGTCGATTGGCAGATCGCTTTCCGGGGGTAATAATCCCTCCACCCAAAAAATTGAGTGGTCACTCAATCCACGACTGTTTGTGGGACCCTGCTGTGCGCAATTGGTCGGTCAAACCACGAGTGCGCTAACCACTACGCTACAGGACACCACTGATGTGAAATGGGTCACGTCTTGTTGCAGATCACTGCTGAGGGAGGCCCTCAGCCTCAGTCCAACATCATGTTCTCCATCAGTGACCTGAGCCTTGCCAAGGTCAGTAACATCGGGCATGTGAAGGCCCTGGCGGTTGGCAATGGGCGAGTGACTGGTGTGGTCCAGGCCATCGATGCCGAAAGTGGCAAAGTGGTGGTGATCTCCCAGGTAAGTGACGGCCAACCTCCGAGTCCAAAACCGCACAGTGATCTCTTGATATCACAGTCCTAAACCCCCGATTGCCCAGCGCCCTGGGACGTGTCTTTCCAACTCGAAGAGGTGCTATACAAGTGTAATTTGTTACTGTTGAGAGGTTACGGAGGAAACTGCCTGGCAATACTCTCACTGTGTGTTTGCTCTCTATATAAGTGGCCGTACTTTCAGGCCACTACACCCTGAAACTGTGGAGCGCTCTCCCTCTGTCCCTCCGCCTTGTACATTCCTTCCCCATTTTCGGGTCGTGCCCGAAGAGCTTCCGCTTCGACCGCGCCTAAGTCCCCTCCCCCCCCCCCCCCCCCCCCAGGCTCGGTGTCGTGCTCCGCCACTGACAGGCGCTCTGGGACACTAACCCGAGTGAGGGACGCTGCGTAAATGCAAGTTGTTGTTATCAGGACGAAGTGGAGGTGGAAGTTTTCCAGCTGAAGTCCGTGAGGATCCGAGCCCCCATCACCAGGATGAAGACGGGCACCCAGGTAATGTTCCCATTTAGATCTCGCTGATCGAGCCTTCCCAGCGTGCAACTTCGATTCAATTACAATAAAGCCCTGCGTTTTCTTTGGCGACGTGTCGACCGCCAGCTCGCAAGCCCGCTGTGGGATACGGTGAACATGTCTGAACGTCTGCCGGTGTTGAGTTGGTGCCTCTGGCACCTCGTTGTTGGTGGTTCTGATTGATTGCTCTTGGTTCCCAGATGCCGGTCTACGTAATGGGAACGACAGGCAGCCAGATGCCATTCTCCTTCGGCGACGCAGTGCCCGGCCTGACTTTTCACTGGACAGTCACCAAGAGAGACATCATTGACTTCAGCACACGGCATTCAGAGGCACGTACGGTCAGCTGTTGGGCTTTAGGGTGAAGTTCTTGCTCGCTTTATTGCGGTGTCTGAAGAGTAATGGGAACGGCCAATTGCAATCCACCTGACCGTTCCCAAATTAAATAAAGCTCCGACACTATCTCTCAATCAACTTCTGCAGCAAATAGCAATCTGATTCCTTCTTGGAAGATGATCAAACGTACAGTCAAAGGAGTAGGTCTTGAGACGGACCTTTACTAAGATGGTTTTATATCTGTTTGTCCTCACAAAACGTGCGAATGGAGAATTGTTGGGTGGGAACTGATGGGTTATGTTTTTCCTCGCTTGCTCTTTTGACATTTTCTTCTCGTTTTCTAGGCATCTTTTCAGCTCCTGGACGCCAACAACTTTGCAATGAACGTGTTCAGCAAAACCAAGGGGAGAACGGGGCTGAGGGTGGTGGTGAGAGCGGTCGATCCTGCAGCAGGCTCGTTCGAAAACCAGGCCCAAGAGTTGTCGGACGAGATCCAGATTGAGGTACCTTTTTTCCCCACACGACAACTTGTATTTACGCAGCACCCTTCATGCAATTGCTAGACAAAAGGTCCATCTAGTTTGCCTTCCACCATCCAGACAGTCGGGTGCACCACATGTCATGTTCCCAAACTATATGCTGTAATCCCGAGATTTTCCTAAAAGAAATCTACGCACTGTCCTTTCACAGGTGTTTGAGAAACTCCACTTGTTGAGTCCGAGTACTGAGGTCGAGCAGCTGTTAATGTCACCAAATTCCTTCCTCAAACTTCAAACCAACCGGTAAGTGTTTAGAGCAGCTGGCAGTGCCGTCCTACCTTCTCTGTGAAGTCTATCTACCCTTCCCCGGCAATGAATCTGGTGCTTTTTAAAGTAAAGTGGGTTTGTATCCACCTGACTGATTGATCTCAAGTGATCTTGGCTTGGGTTCTTCTCTGTCCCTTCTATTGGGGAGGGGTGGGGGGATGGTGAGAGCAAGCTTCCCTGCTTGATATCTAATTTGTGCTGTTCCCAAAAAAATAACATAACATGAGGCGTGTGTGTATGACAATCTTGTAATCTTTTCTCCCTAACCTACTACTCCAATTGCCCCAAAACAAGTGTCCGTTCATCTCTCGCTCCTAAATTCCCTCGACCTGTTCCGCTTCGCTGACTCTCTGAACCTGTGACTTCCAGCTTCTCATCACTCCCCTCGAGAAGAAATTCTTTCTCTTCTAGGTCCTAAACCCACTTTAATAATAATCATCTCAAAACGCTTCACAGAGCCACAAACGTTAAGGTTATGTCCTCTGAAAACAGATGGTGTGGAGTGGGGGAAAATGCTCATTATTTTGTAGTGTAATATAACAGGGAGTACTTAATATTATAATATTGTATTATAATACTATAGGGAGAATAGATGCTTATTTTGCTCTGATAATTCTAACCACTCGGATCAAACCGCTCGCCTGCGAGACTTTTTTTATCAGCGTGACAAGTGGCCAAAACCCAAAATAAAAACGACCTGTGATTTTAGAATAATTCAAAAGTCAAGTAGCGACGATGGACACATAAACCGTACGCGCTTGAAGGAGCAACAATTAGTGATGTGGAGCAAACCAGTGGTCTAATGTGTATGCGTGTCAGGGGTGATTTGGCCGGCTTGTCTAACTTATTCCACTTTCCCACTTTGGTCGGAGCAGAATTAGCTCTTGCGAGACCGATTGCTTTGGCAATGAGAGTGTTATAAATGTGCAGGAATGGAATTAGTGTCGGGGAGCAATTGAGTTTGACATAACTACGGCCAGTGGTTTTTGTGGAATTGTGCTGCTCGATAATTTGGGAAGCGTGTGGGGGGGAAATGTATTTTATCCAATTAAATGTAACATGACATTTGCTAAACTAGACATATCTTAACCCTCGGAGTGCCATTGTGTGTGTGGGTTGGGAGGTAACTGCTGATTGGATCAGCTTGTGTATTGGGAGTCTAGAATTTCAGTGAGCAACGTGCTCAAATCTACGGGGTTAGAAGAAAATGTCGACACTCAACCCACGACTGTTGGTGGGACGGCTGCTGTGCGCAATTGGCTGCCGCGTTTCGCCCACAAGTACACAGTCGATCTGCGAAGCGCTTTGAAACGTCTCAACTGTGTGATATGGCGCTAGATCAGATGCAAGCGTTACGTATTGTATCTTACCGGGTTCAGAGTGGGGGGAGGGGGCGGCAGGTCGAGGCCCAATGTCGTGGCACTCCAAAGGGTTAAATGCCATGTGGCCCATTCCATCTGCCTGGTCCTGCACCTCCCCACAGCAGCACTTGTGATCTCTCCCTTCAGGCTGTCTGTACAGCCAGACCTTCGGGTAATTGGAGCCTTTTAGTCTGTGTCTGAGATCGACAGCCTGCTAGCCGCTGTGTAAAGCTGCAGAGAGTCAGTCTGGGGCTTGAAGGGAGATGAATGGACGCCTTCAGCCAGTGCCACGGAGCAGGGCAGAGCGAGCACCGGAGCCTGACCGGGGCGAGCAGAGCTTTGACGTTTTGAGCTGCTCAGATTGGCACTGTGCACCTTTAATAGCGTTTTTTTTATTATTGTTATTTAAGAGGCTTTCTTGAGTGAGAGAGAGCATTTTCTCTGTCTCTTTTTCTTTTCGCCCTCTTTCATCCCAACGTTAGTGCCCAAGGTTTTCAGCCACCTAGCCCATGCCCTCCGGAATCCCCTCCCAAAATTCTTTGGCCCTGCTCCCTGCCAACAAAACCTTCGCCTTAAACACCTCTCAGTCAGTCAGAACCCTCATTCCCCTCTCCTACACCTCTCTTTGTGCAGTGACCCACCCTGTCGCTTTACAGCAGCCTAACGTGCAAGAAGGGTGATGTACAAGTCATGGTGCAGAGGAGGGTATAGTAATAATAAGCCTTACATTCAATGCAGAGCCTTGTCACGTCATTGAGACAGCTCAAAGCGCTTCACAGGATACACTGCAAAATGGATTGACTGTACATTTTATTGAACAAAACTATTTTGTGGGCATGGGAACCAATCCACAGCGGGTCCAAACCTCAAGTCCAACTGCATTCCGGGGAGGGAGAGAATCTGCCTCAACTTAGATCTTACAAAAGAAAATAATAATTTGCGCGTGAATAATTGTCCTTGAGTTTTCTGTTTGATGAGTCGGTGACGTTCTTGCTTAATGATGTTTCCGTGAGAATGGAAACATTTCTCCGAGACCTTCAGCTTTTCCCACATTGTGTGGTGTTCTGCACAGCACGGTCAATCCCTGTCCAATTAAAGTGAACGCTCAGGATGTGTATCGAACTGGCTAATTGGAGGGCAGCTGGAGCGAGTCTGCCTAATGACTTCCTGCCCACTTCCTGGTGTCGTGGCCACAATAAACCACATCCAGGCCAGAGTACAGAGGCCTCTGAGCTGAGAAATTGCATGGATTTGAATCGCATCCAATTAGAATTAGTCCAATGATACTGTGTAAGTATCTTTACTCATCGCAGCAATTTGATAAATGCAATAAAATCTCCCTCTCTCTCTCAATTCTTTTAAACAAAAAAAAACTTTTCCTGATCAAAGACCTTCTTGTGGTTGATTATTGTGGTAATTATTGTGCTTGATGGGCCGAGTGGTTCGTGCGGAGAGTGGGGAGTGGACAGAGTTGAGTTGCGTCTGTCTCAAAATGTGGTGGTGTGTTTGCCTGGGTGTCTCCGACAGCATCACTGCCCAAGCCTACACGATGGGCTGGTTGGTGACTACCCGAGTTGTGGGTGGAATAATTCATTGTGAACCCCAATAATTCCACCCTGAACCATTTGGGGCAAAGGGATCTCTTAAATGGCCATTGGTGGCTGCAGCCTGAAGCATCTCGGAATCACCGATCTCGGTTTGTGTCCGGATGAAGCTCCCGGCAGATGGTCAGAGTCTGAACGAGGGTTTTCTGGACTCGCTGCTTCCAAATCCTGGTGGAATTCTGTTCTCGCCATTGAGCAATAGGCAATGTGCCAGTCACCGGCTAACCGCAAGGACTTGACCTGTTCCACAGGGATGGTGTGGCTTCGCTCAGTTACCGAGTCCAGGACTCTTCAGACAAACCTCCCGTGGTGCAAGTGGATGAACACGGAGTGCTGACGTCCGGCTCCATCACCGGAATCTCTACCATCGAGATCAACTCCGAGGAGCAATTTGGCGTGAATCAGACCATCACCGTGGCTGTCAAGGTAAGGACTCGATAATAATTTGGTCACTTAATCCACCGCTGTTTGTGGGGCGCTGCTGTGTGCTGTTGGCTGCCTCGATTCACCCACAAAATATACAATCAATTTGTTTCATAGTGTATCTTGTGAAGCTCTTTGAGACGTCTCGAAGACGTGATAAGGCGCAATATCAAATGCAAGGATTATTATTGTTGTGACTTACAGTGAAGCCAACAGTTACTTCTGCAGACGCTCTAGGGTAGTTCTCAGCTTGGCTCATTTTGGTCATTTGTTCATCTCTGGTTCCTCTTTATCCTCTGTAAATCCCAGATTATTGTGAAGTTATTTTTCAATGTCCCTTTTGCTGAGTGATGATGTTCACACCAGTTCTTCTTTTCATCAATAACAAAGTGTTTACAAGTTTCCCAGTGAATATGTTTAGCTACATTATTATGTGGAATTGGATAATAATAGTAATCACGTCTCAAAGTGCTTCACAGAATCTACTGTAAAGCAAATTAACTGTATATTTTGTGGGTGAAACGCGGCAGCCAATTGCACACAGCAGCCCCACATACAGTCGTGTGGTGAGTGACCCCGTTTCTATTTTTTTTTTAAATTGATGATTATTATTTCTCTCCATCACTGACCGTTCTTGCTTCGATTTTGTTTCCTGTTCCCAGGTGACGCCTGTCTCCTACATGAGAATGAGCACCAACCCAGCCATCCACACCATCAACAAGGAGCTCCAGCCTGCTATTCCCGTGGGAATGACCTTGACTTTGACGGTTCATTTCCACGACCACACGGGAGACACCTTCCACGCTCACAATTCAGTCGTGAACTTTGCGACTAACAGGTAACCTGCCCTCTCGAGGTTTGACTCAGTCTAAAAGGGGAAACCAGGCAATAGGTTCCATCTCTTAACTTGTGATCCTTAGTCATCTGTGGGCTCCCCCCAAGCCTTGGCCTTTGCCAGCCTGTAGCAGCACGCATGGAACTTGGCACTAGGTCTGGCTTTGATATGCTTACACACGTAATGAGTCTCCACATGCGTCTCACGCACACACACGCAAGCACACCGTGATCAAGACGGTTGCAACTAAAATGCCGCCTTCTTTACTGTGTGAAAGGGACGACCTTCTCCAGATCGGGAAAGGAGCGGTGAACAACACCTTTGTGATCAGGACGGTGAACGTGGGGCTGACTTTGCTGGGAGTCTGGGACACTGAGCACACAGGCTTTGCCGATTACATCTCCTTGCCGGTCCAACACGCCATCTCTCCGGGGTCCGTGGAGAGCATCGTGGTGGGAGACGTCCTCTGCTTCAGCAGCAACCTCGTCAATCATGAGGGTAGGCGTCAGGATTGAGAGCCGGCACCTGTGCAGAGAGTCAGAATATTTAATAATATGAAAATAATCCTTATACTTGATACAGGGCCTCATCGCATCATTGAGATGCCTCAAAGTGCTTCACAGAATATACTGTAAAGTGAATTCACTGTGTATTCTGTGGGCGAAACATGGCAGCCAATTGTGCACAGCAGCGTCCCCACAAACAGCTGTGCATTGAGTGACCAAATTATTATTGATTTATTTGGAAGGGATTATTGCCCCTGGAAAAGTGACCCACCAATCGATTAACAACCGGGTTCCTATTTACTGCTGGGTAAACAGAGGCGAGATGTTGACTAAGAGCATGAAAGGGGAGGTTAGGAAGATCTTCACTCCCACAAAAAAACGATTTATCAGAATGATTTGCCAGGGACATTTAAAGAAGGAATTAGACAGGTCCGTGTGGGGGCAGGAGGAGTGTTATAGAATGCTGGAAAAGAGCAAGAAATTGGGATGAAGATAGATGGGCTTGTTGGACAGTGATAAATTGGGTGGAATGAGCTCCTGTGTGTGGCAGTTTGTACAGATGATAAAGCCTGGACTCTGGCTCTGTTCCTGCAGGTCATTTGGGATTCTGGACCTCCTCCTCCATCAACATCCTTCAGATTGATCCGAAAACCGGGGCAGCTGTGGCCAGGGATTCCGGGTCCGTCACTGTGTATTACGAGGTCCCTGGATATCTGAAAACCTACAAGGAGGTGAGTGACCAATTTTATTCGGGGGATTTTTGTTTAGGACACCGAGAGAGAGAGAGGGAGAAACTCCCTTCTCTTTTCGAATAGCGCCGCGGGATCTTTAACGTCCACTTGAACAGGCAGACGGGGAGATCCGAAGGACGGCACCTCCCACCATGCAAACCCATCCAGTGCTGCATTGGGGAGTCACCTTAGGCCCGACATGGCACTTTGCCACCTGTTTAACCGTCCCTTGCATTGTGACACTGCAGTTTAGTGGCTAGTGGTCACTCAGTCCACGGCTGTTTATAGGACGCTGCTGTGCGCAATTGGCTGACGCGTTTCACCCACAAAATACAAAGTCAATCCACGTTACAGTATATCCTGTGAAGCCCTTTGAGATGTCTCAATGACGTGATAAGGCGCTGTATTAAATGCAAGGATTATTATTATTATAAACGCACAAGCTCTTTGGGCAAGTCTGATCTTATGACTCCCCCACCCCGTTTCTTTGCAGTTGGTGGTCCTGGGGGCTGGACAGACCGTGGTACAAGTTATCAGCGGGGCCCACATGAGCAGCCAATCTGGGGCCGGGAGCTTCAGGGTGTCCGTCACCACTGGAGAGAGCAACAGCAATTTAAAAGGTAATCTTTCTCTCTTGTCTCGGTGGGAAAGAGCTACTGGGGTCTGGAGAGTCGGAAGGCTGTCTGCCTGTCCTGGCAGCGGGCTCCACACGTGATTAATTGTATCTAACGCCGTCTCTGAACACAAAGCTGAGATGAAGTGAACGCTTGGAAGAGTTGCAGCAAAGCACATCTGACGTTCGCCGAGGACCAGTGAGACATGTCTTTACTCATTTGTTGAAACATATCTTTACTCACTCCCCGCCACACCCCTCTCTCCTTCCCCCCCCCACCCCCCCACCAGCCATGCTGCCGTCAGGGTAAACTACTGTGATGACAGGTTTCATAACCTTGGATTGTTATTCCCTTGAGTTAAGAAGGTTGAGGAGTGATCTGATTGAGGTGTTGAAAATGATAAAGGGAGGATTAATAGGGTAGATATTTCCTTTGGTTGGTGGGTGGGTGGGAGGTGGTGGGGAAACCATAACGGGGGGGGGGGCGTCATCTTAAAATCAGACCATTTAGGAGTGACATCAGGAAGCATTTTTTCACCCAAAGGCCAGTGGGGATCTGGAATTCTCTCTCTCTCTCCCCCCCAAAAGGCTGTGGATTATGGCTGGATCCATTCACATTGTCCAGACTGAGGTGCATAGGTGTTTGTTAGTCAGGGTTACGGGATATGGGGCAAAGGGCAAGTAATTGGAGTTGAGGTACAGATCAGCCATGATCTTATGGAATGGCCGAACATGCTGGAGGGGCTGAATGGCCTCCTCCTGTGCCCAGTGGTGGAGCGCAATAATATACAGTCGTTCGGTATTTGTTGTAAGGATTATTTTTTGTTAAATGGGTCAATAAAGCAGCCGTTTCACGTGTTAATTAATAACAAACCGTGTGTTGGTGCACATCTACTCAATGTCAGCCTGTTAACAAGGCGTTTAACACGCAATTGGCATTCAACACTAATACCCCTATATATAGCAGCGAGATGGTCTCGGTGAGAGCTGAGCACTTGCAGGGTGTAATACGGTGTAACTGTAAACACGGGCGTTCAGGAGGAGACACTTATATTTACTTAATTTGCGTAAATCACAGCGCAAACTTCATTTGCTTTTTTTTTGCCAACATTTTGGCTCTGTGTAAGAGTGCGTTTGATCCGTGGATTCGGTATGAGCGCTCCGAGGCGCGAAGGGCGCTATGCAAATGCAAGTTGTTGTTGCTGCTGATTTAGCGCCTTTTCTTGTCATGTCATTGAGACGTTTCAAAGAATCCGCTGTAAAGTGGATTGACCGTATTTTGTGGGTGAAAAATTTTATCAAATTTTAAATTTTTAAAGTACCAATTTTTTTTTATTTTGGACAGGGAAAAACAATTCCCTTGTGAAACGCAGAGCTCTGCGAGAGCCTTTCCGTTCCCCTCTTCACTGTTGACCGCTTTGATATGTTAGCTGTGCTGATGCAGGTAATTTCTTGGCTCCCAACCTTGGCAACGTTCTCGCTGATCCTACATTATCAGTGAAGGCAAAGAGGCAGCCAAGAGTTTTCAGTCTCCTTCAGCGTTTTCACAGGGATCCCGGTACTGACACGAGCACTTTCTGTAATCCTTTACTGCCCGTCACAGCAAACTACCAGCAAATCCCCCTCAGCTTTCCATGGAAGATCTCAGATAGTTTGCAGGCCTGAAGGAGACATGACCCCATCGTGTCAGTGCTGGTGCTCGCTCCCCCACTGGAGCTCTCTATTCTAACCCCATTCCCCTTGGCTTTTACGTTAGTTTCCCTTTGCCAATTGAGGAATCCGAATTACAAGCTAATTTTGTCTCATCGCTTTTGAGGGTTGGACAGCTCGTTTGAATTTAAGAGCAATAAATAATTGAATAGCAATATAGTGATTTTTTTTAAAAACAAGTATGTGAATCAGACGGAGACTGTGGTGTGTAAAAGTCTTTTGCTCCTCCATTGGATGGTGCCTTTATTTCACCCACAAAATACACACTTTACAGTATATCCTGTGAAGCGCTTTGAGATGTCACAAAGACCTGATAAGGCGCTAGATCAACTGCAAGGATTATTATTATTACTTGCCTTCCATTTCCTCTTGTGGGTTCAGGAGACTGCACAGCCTCACACGCCGATGCCATCCGTGAGCTTCACCCCGAGTCCAGCATCACCTGTAACCTCCGCTTCACCAACGGCGCCATCGAAATGTCGGCTCAAAACCTGTTCAGCGTCCAAACAGGGTTCAACACAAACCCAGGTACAGCGTTCCTTACCCACTTTCCACATCCGCAGAGAGGGAGGACACGGGGTTAGAGTTGCAAAGAGCAATTTCGGGACTGAAACCAGGAAAAGCAGAGGGATAGAGGAAGAGTGGATGGGTAGAGGATAAAGGAAGACAGCAGACGCCGGGGACACTGGGAGGCATTATAAGTAGCCTACCGTGGTGGAAAGGCGGTTGTTTCTGGAAGGAAGAGATCAGATGAGCCGAAGGGGCTTCCTCACCTGAACCAGCCTCGCAAGGCATCCTGTGTTGCATGAAAGCATCGAACGCAGTCCAGGCAGGAGATTTTCTGAAAGGAATCCAATCATCTCGCGCTGTTTAATGAAAACCCTTTGACAGCCTATTGGAGTGAGATTTAATTTAGTCCATTTTCCTCTCCTTTTCTTTGACAATGATTTATACCTAATTGCATCATAGCCATTGAAGCAAAATAAGTAACTCGACTCTAATAAGTGTGGCTTTCCTCCCTCGCCAGGACATTATACCTGTACCATTGCCATGAAGGAACTGACTGATCACCAGCTTAAACTATTGAGCACAGCTAAAACCTCGCTCCATGTGGAGGCTGCTGTCGTGGGAGTACATTTCTCTGGAGAGCAGATAGCGGCTGAGGTTCCGTTCCTTCCCGGCTTTTACACGGATCAATCCGAGATCCTTTTGAGCAACCTGTACGGGGCCACCGAGATCACCGTGTTCGGCAATTCCGACATTCTCAGGAACCTGGAGGTAAGGCGTGAATCGGCTGGGGTCAGAAATCGCAAGGCGCTTCACTGGATTTGACTGCGGAGTGAAGTGACTGTGTTTGTAGACAAATGTGGCAGCCAATTTGTGCACAGCGATGTCCTACAAACAGCCACAAGTGAGTCAACTCATTTTATTTCGAGGATTGATTGTTCGCCAGGACACTGTGTGTAAAAATTCCCTTCTCTTTTCGAATAGCCCCGTGGGATCTTTAATGTCCATCTGGCCAGACACAGACAGGTCCTCGGTTTAACATCTCATCCAAACCACAATGCCTCTGACAATTTTAGTTATCCCTTTTCTCCTCCCCCTTCTCCCCCCCCCCCCCCACCCACCCACCCGCACAAATACGCACGCAGGCACGCACACACAGAATTGCACTGGAGGGTCAGCCTAGGCTTGTTGGGTTAGGACACTGTCATTTCTATGATTTAATATTCCACATGTTGTTAGACACACAGCAATAAAATACAACCTGTGCTCTTTCTCTCTTCCCCCCCACCACCACCACCAATACAGGTTAAGTCGGGATCCCCAGCGATCATTGTTCAGGAGAAGGAGAGGTTTTACGGGGCTCAGAGTTTTGTGAAGTACACGGTGACACTTGCTGACGCCAGGCTGATGAGCCAAGGGACGGCGTCAACTTTTTTCACCGTCTCCAACTCACTGACTGACCAGTCAATCTCGGTGCCAGTCAGGGTCTTGCACATCACTGATAAAAGCCTCGAGGGACAAGGTACCAATTCAGCATTTTATAAACTGCTCCTTGAGTAATAATAATGCTTACATTTGATTCTGCGCCTTATCACATTGTTGAGACGTCTCAAAGTGCTTCACAGGATACACTGTAAAGTGGCGTAGTGACTGTATGAAACGCGGCAGCCAGTTGCACACAGCAGCGACCTCACACAGAGTCGTGGATTGAGGAATACTGATCCTCGCTGTTTGACAATACAGCGCCTACAGCATCAACGGCTCAAACCGCTTCACAACAAGTCTCGTTCGTAGACGGGCTCAGTAGTCAATTGGCGAGCACTCAGGAGGTGGAGTGAGTGGATTGGTTTGGGGGGGTGGGTGTGGTGGGGGGTGGGAGAGACAGGGACTTGCTCTATTGTAGGAAGCGATTGAACCTCTTCCCCACCCTGCCCCCCATCCCCACTTCCCTGGTTTATTTTAAACCCGCAGTGGGTGCTAATTGGGTGGGAGACGTGTGATACTGACTTGTCGATCTTGCCTTTTCACAGCTCACTTCACAGCGACGCACTGGGAGGGTGTTGGTGTGTTCCAGCAGTTCATTAACTCCTATCAAGCCATGTTCTTCACCCTCTTTGCAATACTTGCCGGAGCTGCCATCATGATCATCGGTGAGTCTCATGTGTTTGTAGGGGGTGGGGGGTGTCCTCTCTGTGTTTCCCCCCCACACTCCTTCTCCATCCACCGACGCTTTGCTGGGGTGACTCTTAAGGAAAGTTTTCTGTGATTTCTGCTGTGGTTGCTGTCGGTGTTTGAATGATCGTCACCGTTTGTCTCTCTAGCCTATCACGCCTTCTTATCGCCTCGGGACCCAGTTCAGCATCCGGCGTTCATCCCCAAGACCCCGCCTCCTGGAGGTATGATTCTTGGGCTAATATTCGGGATCTCAAGCTCCCAGCGACTCCCTGGGTTACATGACGTGGTGGGCGCTGGATATCTTAGCATTGCTGCTGCGCCCAACGACATCAACGGTTCGAGCCTCGTGTGAAAGCTTTTCTGTTTTTTAATGGGGGCAGTTTGCAGGCCGCCTGTTCGGTTCTTTACCCGTTTCAGGTAGCCTAGGTTTCGGGCATTATCCCGGCCCCTGGGAGACGCTGTCCTAGGCAAAACAGCGCTTTGTAAATGTAACTTGTTGTTGTTTTGTTCCCCGCCATCGGTTGGACAGGCCTTCAGCTTCTCTGCGCCCACCCTTTGGAACTCCATCCCAGAGCCCCACGCCTCGCCCACTCCCTCGCCTCCTTCATGGCCCGTCTCAAGACTTTCCTCTTCCACCGCATCTGCAGCCACCTTCCTACCCCTACCATCCACTTCTCCCCATCCCAACCCCCAGCTTGGGTCCCAATCCCTGACTGTCCAGCGCCTGGGGACATCCTCCCAACGTGAAAGGCACTATAATCCTCCTCTCCCCCCCAACTTGGTGTCGGGCTCCACTGTTAAGCATTCTGAGACACTGCCTTATGTGAAGGGTGCTCTACAAATGCAAGTCGACGTTGTTGTTGTTATACAAGTGTTTTGTTGTTGTGCTACTAAAAGTTTTCCCTTTGCCTTGTAGGTTTCAGCCTATCACCCACTCACTTCAGCCCAAGCCTTCCCTCCAGCAGGAAAACCAGCCCCAGTCACCTCTGGAGCACAGCCTATCCCTCCAATGGCCGTTTGTCACCAAGTTGATGTGAAGGGAAACCCCAGTGAAGGAGCAGTCGTGCCAGATGTTTGTGAATTTTTTTTTTTTTTAGTGCCTTTTCTAGAGCGTATGAGATTGGAAGGAACCGTTTGCAATCACAGTGAATGTCCGAGAACCCGCGGGTGGAAGCGTCTGCTACGAATCCGTCCAAACTACTGTCCGCATTGCAGCCGAGGTGACTCAGAGAGGGGGGGTGTGCGGGGGAGAGGCCGGTGAGGAGCAGAGAAATAAGAGGGTCTAAGTTGCATGATTGACCAAATTGGGGGGAAAAAGAGGGGGTGGGAGAGGGGGTTGTAATGGGGAGATTCTGGAGCTCGGCTGAGGTGTCGATCTCAGGTATCGAAATGGAGACCCGAGCAGAGTTCCAACAAAGATGTCGCTATTTACAAACTCTTTCAGGAATCCTGAGGTCCAGACCCCCCACCCCCACCTCACCATTTCCCCTTCCATCCCCCTCCCAATGTGTTGTGAGGTTAAATTGTTTTAATTTTCTTTATTGGCTTTATGTTTTAAAATCATGTTTTTGATGCCTGTTAATTTATGAATCCCTTTGTGTGTGAATTTGCCTCAAAACATGTGTGTGTGTTTTTTCCCCCTCCTGCCCCGCCCGTCCATGAAGGTTTTTGCTATATAAGCTTTTTTTTATTTCTTTGCCTATGGTTTTTATTCCAAGCTTCGCGTAGCTTCGCTTCCCACCAAAGAGAACCCCCACATTGACTGACTCGCTCAAAAAAAAAAAAAAAATTCCGTTTGATGTTCGAGATTGAGCCTTGCTTTTTTTTTTAACAAGTTACTTGATTTTATGTGATTAATAACCTTTTATTTCTTCTCTTCTCAAGATATCAGGAACAAATCGACTGGACTGATCGATCGATCAATAGTGTTTTTCATTTTGACTTAAAAGTTGCAACGGACGCAGTCATATACAGGGTGAAACAGAAGTCCTTATTCGTAGACTTTTTAATTAATTATTTTTTTATTATTTCTTAGTGTGTGCAGCTATTATAGATGTCTTTCATCGCATTCGTGAAAGTTTTTGTGACCGAGTTGATGTGTGTAAATGACTACATGCCGTGCAGTTTAAACATCTCGTATAGACCTACGTATAAGGACTTTTGATTCACCCTATATGTCCTGTGTCAGCCTGGCTCAGTCGGTAGCACTCTCGCCTCTGAGTTGGAAGGTTGTGGGTTCAAGCCTCACGTCAGGGACTTTCAACTCGCAGTCTAGTTTGACGCTCCAGTGCAGTGCTGCATTGTCAAAGGTGCCGTCCTTCAGATGAGACGTTAAACCGAGCTCCCGTCTGCCTGTTTAGGTGGACGTTAAAGATCCCGCAGCGCTATTCTCGAAAAGAGAAGCGAGTTTCTCTCTCTCCTTCTCTCTCTCTCCCGGTGTCCTAACCAACAATCCCCCAAATAACAAAAACTGGACATTCATTTGATCCAATGGCTGGGTGCAAATTGGCTGCTGCGTTTCACCAACAAAATAGTTATTCCACTTTACAATGCACCCCGTGAAGCACTTTGAGACGTCCTCCTGGTGTGAAAGGCACTGTGTCAGATTTTATTATAAATAACAATAATATGAGATCTGATCAGTCCAGTCGTGCTTTATTTTATTGAGAATTTGGAAAAACTGAAGACTGATTTGTTTTTGACATAATACCTCAGTTACGGTAGCGAAACAGAGCTGAAAGCCTCACAGTGGTAGCTCTGACAGCCTGTGCAGATGTGAAGATTATTCAACCTGTCTGATTCGCTAAACTTACTTGATCGGTCTCAAATGCTAGAGGATCATTCAGTTAACCTGTTATTTGGAATGTGATTACTTTCTCCCCCGCTGAAGTTACCTGGATGTGACCTGCTTTATGAACCGCTGCAAATTTATCGGCAACGAATGAAGTATTTGAAACCACTGAGCTTTTTTTTATGAAGATGTTCTGTATTGAGCGTTCTCTGAGTTGACTGACTGACTGATTGATTGATTGACTGAGCTGCTTTGGTCTGATAATAAATATCAACCAAAGACGTTCTTTAACGCTTGGCTCCTGCGTCCTGAATGGGTGAAACATTGTTAGAGTTAATTGTGCGGTGAGATTTGAGAAGCATTCACTCCCCACCCCCCCCCCACCCCCACTCCCTCCTTCCCACTCAGCAAACATCTCCAATATGAAAATATCTACAGTATAACACCCCATGAAGCGCTTTGAGGCACCCTCCCAAAGTGAAAGGGAGTAAGAAGATTGTGGGTTCAAGCCCCCACGTCAAGACCTGGAATCACACAGTCTAAGCTGAGGCTCTGATGCAGTCCCGGCGGCGGTGGGGGGGGGGGTTGCATTGTCGGAGGAGCTATCCTATGGATGAGAGGTTAAACTGGTGCCGCGTTTTCCTATTCAGGTGGACGTTAAAGATCCCATGGCACAATTCGGAAAAAGAAGGGAGTTTCTCTCTCCCCCCCACACCCCCCGGTGTCCTGGCCAACAAGTTCCCAAATAAATGGCACTGACTCCATGACTGTTTGTGGGACATCGCTGTGCAAAAACTGGCTGCACGTTTTGCCCACAAAATACACAAGACAAAGCAGTTTGAGACGTCTCAATGATGTGATGAGGCGTTATATCAATGCAGTGTTTAATATTATTACGATTATTATATAACCTCCTCATTAGTCCTTAGGAAAAAAAACAGGATGGATTGTTTCCCTGTGTAAATATCAATTCGTTTCCTCCCCCGACCCCACCACCTACTTTACATCATTCTGCTCTCAGAGATAAAGACGTCTAAATGTGACAGCCTTGAGCTTCCATGTTGTTTCTCCTCTTGAACTCGGAGCAGAGAAAGGATAGTGACTGCTCCTGCCCCGGGCTGTGTGTGCTGACAGCTGTCAGACGGAGAGTAGCGAGCCAGGTGCTTGGCAAAGCTCTCCGGGAACAGAGCAGTGTCAGACTGCCCAATGCCCACCCCTAACAGGGGCTGCCATACCAGCCATCTCTCCCTCCCTCCCTCCCTCTCGCTATGACAGAAATACCCTGTCTGTCTGCCATCAGCCCACAGGCTTCAGCCAAGGAAACTTCCTACCCCACGGTGAGGGGCTCAGCTGTCAGCTCAGTGTGAGAAGCTCACAGGCTTCTCTCCTAGTCAATAGGGCCCTGGAGATGTTACAGAGCTTTTCTCTGTGTGGGTCCACACTCGCCCCCCACCTCCCTGCCTCCTTGGGCAACCACTTCATATCCCTCACCCTGACACCATCACCCACCCCACCCCCCCCCCCACCCCCACACACACACACATCCACACCCCACGCTCCATCTCGAAGCGGTTGGAAACTCCTGACTTCAGAATCACTATATAATCCTATTCCCATTCCTCCCCATTGTGTCTGTGTTGGTGCTCACTCCCCCACTCGAGTTCTCCACTGTAACACTATTCCCTGCTCTCTCCCTATACCCTTCAGCATTCCCTGTGGCCCTGGAAAACCCGCTTCCACTTTCAGATAGCCGTGGTTTTCTATATCGCTTTGCGTAAGAACGTAACTGCAGGGAAATTTTCTCTTTTGTCCTCCTGTAAAGAAACAAACAAAGCGCTTTGAATCTCGACTGTAAAGTACAGAGGCAAAGCCTTTGCCAAACAGTGTTCTCTAGCTGTATCAAAATCTTTTTATAGATTTAAAAATGTGCTCTCTAAATACAAATATAATGTTAAACCATCAAGTTCCTATCCACCTCCAGGACAAAGGCATCAAGTCAAAAGACCTCGGTTTGACTTGACTCGCTCAATAACATTTATCTGACTCCAAGACATCTCCACATCAATCATCCCTCTCAGCTAATCTGCTTCACAGGAAAAGTTATCAAATGTTGTGTTGGTGTTGGTATATTGTTTGCTTCTGTTGATACAAGGGTAGCTTGTGTCAAAACAGTAATATTAACAATAATCCTTGTGTTTGACACAATGCCCTGCATGGCAATAGGATGACTGAAAGCGCTTCACAGGATTCACTAGGGATTGTGGTGACTGTGTTTCGTGGGTGGAGATCACTCATCTCATCAACCTGCTGTGAGGAGGCGATCAAAGAACAACAATGTTCTTCCTGGCTTCTATTGACAAAAGGATTTGGGTTACGAACTGGGTTGGAAGTAATGTGAGGCTGAGTAATACCTCCCAAATCTCTCGCCTGCGATAAACTGCCAAACCCAGACGCTAAAAGTGCTTTACTCATTCTCCACGTGGGGATATCTTCAGAATTGGATCAACCAGTGTGATTGCCAGAGGACGTTCCTAATTGATTGTTCCGTTTTCAAAAGAAATTAATCAGTTCTAATACCTGCCCCCCCCACCCCCACACACACACACACACACACCGCACTCCATTGGAATATAACCAATGACCTGACCCCCGCTCTCTTATGCTCAAAGCTGAGCTGATCCTATTGTTGCTCCTCAGTTCATCTGGCTCATGTCAAGCCGGAGTTCAGGCTTGCCCGATTGAGGCAGTAAGTACTGAGGTCCTAAGTGTAACGATTTCTAGCGACATTCCTCAATTAAAACCAGAGTTCCACTCCCACACAATCCTCTTCCGGAGTGACGTTCTCTTCCTGTTCTTCGGAAAAATCCCCCATTTGTTTCCTTGATTAGGAAGCTCTCTTAGCTGTGTGTTACAACAACTTGCATTTGCATTTATACAGCGCCCCTCACATAGGGCAGCGTCTTGGAGCGCTTAACAGTGGCAGAGCCTGATGCTGAGCCAGAGGGAGGTGGGGAGTGGGTGGGAAGGAGATGTTACACACACAAGACCCCCACTTGCCTCCCAGTTTCTCACTGATTCTGAATAGGACACAGTAAAATGATGGACATGGCACGCTCTTGGGCACGTGTAATCCACGTCTGTGACATTGCTCTTTAAGCGCTCTGAGGCGCTGCCCTGTGTTAGGGGGCGCTATATAAATGCAAATTGTTATTGTTGTCGGGTGTCGTGGGTATTGTGCACACAATCATCCTCTGGAAGCAGCCGGGCCAGGATGTGGCTGGTTGGTGCTAAAGCCTCACAGTTAGTGTTCGGAAGCCTGGAGTGGTCAGTGCCGGAGGTGAATCGATCCAGTCACTCGCTGTGACGTACAGTGTTAATTGCAGCCTAACAGCCAGGACTCCCAACATCCGCATTTTACCTCCTCAGTACACACTGCGTGGGCGAGTTGCACAGGCAGAGATGGGAATAAGACTGGTGTTTGTCTGATCTCAACTGTGACATGGGGAGGGGTGTCACACACCGGGTGGGGTGGGGTGGGGGGGGTGAGGAAGTTATTGAAAAATGTTTTTTTTATAAATGAAACGTTCCTGATGCTAAAAGAAATGCTTTTTTTCTGGATTTATAACGAAATGCAATGTGGAATAGAATAGAGAGATTATTGACCAAACGTTGGGATAACCGTCAGATTGGGTTTATTACAACTTTGCTGCTGTTTGTCTTGAGGTTTAGAAAGTGCGACAGACACACTTTATTAACCTTCCCACATGCCTCTGATCCCTCTCTCAACTCTACACATGTGCGTGTGCCAAACCCTCTGTTTATCATCTCTCTAAAGTCTGCTGTTACTCTGACCCCAGGGCTCAATCTAGCTTTGAGGTGTAGATCACCCTCCTTCCCCCTACCCCCCTGCCCTCCACCCTCCACGATCCCAACCCCCAGCTCGGGTTCGAGACACTGATTGTCCAGTGCCTTGGGACATCCTCCCAACGTGAAAGGCGCTGTACACATGTAATTTTCTTGTTGTTTGTCATAGTTGTAGATATAAGAAAATAGCCAAAGGAGCAGTTAGGAGAAAGACTTTTGTTTTATAACATATAGTTGTTATTGTTGGATGTGAAATGCTTTATCTGGAACCGCGCTCGAAGCAGAATCAATAATTATCTTTCTTCAAAAGGAATTAGATGAAAAGTAATAATAAGCCTTGCATTTGATACAGCTCCTTATCACGTTGAGATGTCTCAAAGTGCTTCATAGGATACACACTAAAGTTGTTTGAGTGTATGTTTTGTGGGCAAAATGTCAGAAAAGGTGAAATATGATCGTGTGGAACACCTTCCTCTTCGACAGTGCCTACAGTCATCTTCCCACTACCCCTGGCTCAGTGTTGTGCCCCCATTGTCAAGAGCTCTGGGATCCTACCCTGAGTGGGGTAGGGGGGGGACCGGGTTGTGTAAATACAAGTTGTTGTTGTTGTTGTTGAAAGGGCGTGAGATCAGGGCTAGACAGAGAGCTTTTCCAGAGAGACAGCATCCACACAATTGGATGAATGGTCCGTCTCCTCCAGCGCTGTCAATTTCTCTAGTTGTATCACACCAATCTTCTTCACTGGGCTTCACAGTGGAATCTCAACCATCTCCGAGGCAATCAAAATAAAGTCACCGCGAGAGCTTTAATTGGGTATTTATCACAAGGTGAAAAAANTCTAATTCACAAAAGATTCCTCATTCCTGCTACAATTTGCAACAAAAACGTTATTGGAGCCAAGAGTTCCTAAATTGAGTTCTAAGAATTGTTTTGGGTCCCAGCCAAGGTGTGACATCTGCCACTGGTTTAAACGTCTCCCACATGACTGGATATTCTCCTGTTTACAAAGTGCAAGGCATTTGGAGTCGGTGCTGGTTGGGATTATATGTTAACCATTGAATGTAATGCGAGTTGCTATGGAAAACACATCTTAGGTCCCCCTTGTGGTCTAATGTGCAAAAGACATCACCTGGTGCCACATTGGGACCACATTTCTTTTTGCCCGGCCGGGTGTCTAACACCTGCGGAAACCCATCACTTGCTCAAGAGTCTCCAAACCCAACTGAGAATTCCCCGCCTCCCACCTACACATGGAAATCCCAGAGATAGATTGTTGGAATGGAATGCGCTCTCTCTCTCTCTCTCTCTCTCTCTCTCTTTCTCCCTCCCTGGAGGGACACATTGGGCCACAATGGAAGATTGCAGACTGAAATCCATGGATGGTGTTGAGTTGACTGATATAAAACAACTTGTGACTACAGTTGGCC